AGGTACTTTTCACCATAAATTACGAAGGCCAGTATCAATGTCTGCTACTGGCTTGTATAAAATTGATGATGCCATAGATGTATCTGATTTACCATTATCAGTTGATGGTTTGTTCGGGTCTGACTCTGAAAAAAATTGTATGACTCGTAAGGAAAACAAAAAATCTCTGGACGAATTACTGCCAGACATAAGTGTAAGAAAAGCACGTGTAGTCAATAGAAAGTCTACGTCTTCTACAGACGATTCTGTTTCTAAAACACCTTATATAGTAAAGGACAAGCAGATTCATCAGATCGTTCTTGGTATGGAAATAATCCAAATTTTAACAGTAGATAGTTTGAGAAAAAAAGTTCCACATTTTTGGATCTCAAAGTTTAAAATAGTGCTAGTAACATCAGAGGAGGTAAACCCTCAGAACAGTTTAGATGACAAGGTGAACAAATTATGTTTCCGAAGATACACATACCAGTCGGGAGGCGTTTAACTCATTTTTTACAAGAATGGGGGCAGATAATTCAGAATCAGAGGGTTCTGTCAACTATCAGAGACGGTTTCTTTTTTTCTTTTTCTGGGAATAAAAAAAGATAGTAGTCAGTACAAAAATCTAGATATTATAGATTTAGAAATAAATTCTCTTTTGGAAAAAGAGGCAATAGAAAAAGTACCAGTCAAAGAAAGAATGAGTGGTGTTTACAATACATTATTTGTTATTCCAAGAAATGGACATAGAATTAATTTAAAATCAAAATCAGTATCTTCGGAAGCAGTATTTCAAAATGGACACAATTGCAAACGTGTTGAACTTATTAAAACAAGGAAATTGGGCAATAAGCCTGGATTTAAGAAACACGTATTTTCACAGGAAATACATCAGATTGTCAGTTCAAGGTCAAATTTACCAGAGCAAAGCTCGAGCAATCAAACAGGTCAGGGTCTTTGGACAGAGGAGCAATACATTTTACATATAAACAATCTAGAAAAGGAAGCAGTTTTTCTGACATTAAAGAAATTTCATAAGTTTTTGAAAAACAAAGAAGTTTGATTCGGTCAGACAATGTTACAGTAGTCCAATACATAAACAAACAAGGGGAGACTCGGTCCCCTCAATCGTGTCAAATGACTTGGGATCTATGGATGTTTGCTCTTGAAAACAATGTTTATCTAAAAGCAGCACATATTACAAGGGCAAGCAATGTGTTAGCAAATCAATTGCGTCGGATAAAAACTCATGCGCCAGAGTTGGAATTTGACAATTCAGTTGTACAACATTTTTTCAAAATTGGGGGCATCCAACAATCGATCTCTTTGTAACAAACGAGAACAAGAAAGCAGTTTTGATTTGTTCAGTGATAAATTATCCACAAGCATTAGCAATGGGAGTTCTGTCCATAGAATTGAACAACATGTTTGCATATATATTTTCCTACTTGCACTAATACCCACATTTTTACAGCACATGCAACTGTTTCAGTGCGAGAAAAAAAACTGATAGTTCCGCATTGGCAAAGACAACATTGATATACCCAGTTGTTACAACTACTATTAGCTTGTCCGCTTAAACTCCCACTTATAGAACATCTGCCGGTACAGGGAAACAGAAAATTAGCACATCCAAATCCGGAGGTGTTTCAGTTAAGTGCATGGCGTCTATTGACGAGCAGTTTAAGACAGAGGCTTTTTCTAAAAACGTTAAGAAACTCTTGTCAGCATCATGGCGGGCAGGTACTCAAAAGGAATATCAATTTAGATTTAGAAGATACAATAGCTAGTGTTCTGAACGGGATTTCGATATCTATACAGCCTCTTTACAAGTTTATGCAATTTGTTTAACGCATTTATATGAGAAAGCTTACAATATAGGACAATTGCAGGTTACAGGTCAATGCTGTTTTCAGTATTATCTCCCATTGAGAAAATTCCTGTAGGTTAACAACCTTATATTAAAGATTACTGAAAGGGATTCTCAATACAAGACCACCAAAACGAAAACTTTTACCAAAGTGGGATTTGCATCAGACTTACTAAAGAAAGAACCTTATGTACCAATGATAAAAGCTAATCTGAAATATGTAACTTGGAAAACAATTATTCTGATCGCAATCACTACTGTTAGAAGATGTGGGGATTTGAAACATTGACACATTATTTAAGGAGTACAGAAGATTTAAGAGATAAGATGAACTGAATTTTTTTTAACAATAAATTAACCACATAGATCAGTGTATTCACAAACAAATTCAATTTGGTTAGTTACAGTGATTAAACATGCAAATAAAAGGCAGAAGAAGGCAATACGTTCAAGGACACTCTACCTAGTAAATTGGACCTTCTTGGGCTCTTTTCAAAGAAACAAAAATGAAAGATATTTTAGATAGTGCAGATTGGAGTCAAGCCAACACATTTGTTAATTTTTATTTCAAATTCCAGTTTTCGACACAAGAAGACGGACAAGTATACGTTTTAAAGTATAAACCTTATTAGAGGTTGCACTTTGTAAATACAGCTTTTTCTCAAACCACGCCTCTTTTGGAGAGATATATGATATTCATAGATATTTCGTTTTGTTTACGTACTGGTTCCCAGATATGATCTCTATGTTTCATCTCATAGAGACATAACTTGGGAATGTTACCAGCATAAAAACATATTGTTGCGGTGAAAATTGAATTCTGAAGTAGACACAAAGTGAAGGTAGGGGTAGTACAGAATTTTAGTATAAGTTTAAACTTTAACAAGTTCGGGGCATATGTTGAAAATATGCCGCACAGCCCTATGTTTTGACCTTTGAATTAAATAGAAGTGCATATCAACTTTCCATTCTAGGATATATTTTTTTACGAAACTTCATAGTAAAAGTGGCACAGTTTTAGCCGCAAAGGGAGTTCCTATGGGAAATTGCATTGTCTATATTTACAGAAATGCAACCTATAATGATCATCTTAGCTCACTTTGACATACGAATTTCTTCATTTAAGAGGAAACCTGTCCGTTATACGTGAACTGCATGCAGAATTCCTTACTGCTAACAAAAACGTTGACCCCACTTTAAAACAATGTGACTTTGTTTTGTGTTGAAGTTGAAAATATGACAACATCGAACCGTAATGGCTTTTGGGACAAAATGAAAAAAAAGCTCGGACCTCGAAGCCCAGAAAATCCCGATGGAGGTATACGGCGAAGATGGAACTATGAAATATGAACCTGTAGTGTCCGTGATTTATTCATTGTTTCAATGATTTTTTAGAGCGGTATCATTCCGTCTATATGGAGATAGGCTATAATTTGTCCGATTCTAAAAGACAAATCTTCAGATACACTTTATTAGTCTAGTACTTCTCAATTAGCGAGGAATTAATTTACTTTCTTGTATATCACACTTTTATAGAGTATTCATCAACAGTCGATTGTCATCCTGTTTAGAGTCAAACGATATTTTAGTAGACGAACAAAATGGTTTTTGTTCCGATTGATATTGTTAGGATCATGTATTTACTCTTAATGCTGTAACGAGAAACCATAAGACTTTATTCGCAACTTGCATTTCAATCTTAAGAAAGCGTTCGATTTTGTTGACCGAGATTTGTTGCTATATAAACTTCTGTTAAATAACATTAATTGAAAAACGTACAACTCAATTAAAAAAATTATCTTAGTAGTTCTGCCTATGGTTGTGTGAACAACATACTTTCACAGTGGTTTGAATGAAGTTCTGGGGTTAAACAAGGAATTAATTCTTACGTTACTTTCATTTTTTGTCAACGACCTGGTAAAGAGAGTGAACAGTCTCGGACTTAGTATAAATATTGGTGACTTTACGGTCTCGTTACTTTTATATGCGGACGACGGCTTGTTGGCATCAATCGAAACTGACATGCAATGTTTGCTTAATAAAGTTCATGAGTGGTGCAAGTGATGACGTGTTTTGATAAATACAGAGAAATCAATAGTTATGCATTTTCGACGGTCTCGTTCTAAACGAAGTGAATTCCAGTTCAAAATCGGTGACAATCATATTCAAATAACTGACACATATAAATACCTTGGTGTAACTTTTCACTTTCTTAAGGTCTTTAAAGATAATGTAAATTTAATATCGGAAGCTGAGGGTAGAGCTTTTGGAAGGGTCATCTCCAAGATTCGCCATTTAAAAGACTTCGGAATCAAAAAATTTCAGAAATTATTTACATCGTGTGAAGTGCCAGTGCTAGACTATAACGCTTCTATATTTTTTCATAAAAGATAAAATGCACAAAATAGCGATAATCAGGTTTACATACTATATTGACCATGACAAGAAATATAAAGAAGAACCAAGCTAAAACAAGCAGAGTATTTCCAAAGATTCGTCATCAGTTATATAGAGTCAGACAATTGTGAAAGACTTAGCAAACATTGCAACTTTTTTTTTTTTTTTTTTTTTTTAGTTTTAGTTTGCAACTGAATAGGGAAAAGGATAAAGGACTTTTCTTTTGGTTTGTTTCATATGTACAGCTGGGGCATATAAATAGATAAATGTACGGTCAGGGTTTGCTAGAAAGAGGTGAAAGATACCAAAAGGACATTTAAACTTATAAGTCGAAAACAAACTAACAACGCCATAGAAAAAAACAAAAAACTACCAAAAGAAAAACAACAGTGCATAAAACACAACATAAAAAACTATACTTAGCAATACGAACCTCACAAAAAACCGAGGTGATCTCCTATGTTTGGGAAGGGTAAAACATTCCTATTTTTGAAGGCCGAAAGATGAACTACAGTTGTTTACATCCTTGTCCGTTGGTCACTTTTGGATAGTTGCCTCATTAGAAATCATACACCACCTCTTTTTATGTATGTTAAAACATTTGGTAAATGTAAATAATATAAAATATAACATTTTACCCATTTTCCGAATCAATTCGACAATTAAAACCGGTCAGAAAGAATTCAAGAATTGTTTAATATAGTTTAAAATCCGATAAATAAATAAGTTAGTGTGAAATAGAATACAGCCCTCCATAGATTTTTGAATGTTAAATCTACTTTCGATTTAATGTTTTCTGAAAATTTTGTTTTAATCATGGCGGCTCGGTCTCTGTTGTTTGGTAGGTTGATTTTACATTTTAATGTCGTAATTTATCAAATGTTGTACATATACACTTATTTCGACCTTCTTATTATCTTTAAGAATACAAATATTTGTTGTTAATTTATCAGTATTTACAAAGTAATTATTTCAACATAATTTAGTTTATGTCAGACACTTTTGTCCATGATCTACGTATTAAATATATGTATATGTGTTATAGTTTATAGTTCGATCGGAGGATTATATAAGGTCAATCTTCGTAAATTGACACAATAACTTTATTCCTAATTTGTTCAAAAGGGGCAACATGACATGAACAATTATAACACAATATGACATACACAAGATAAATGTACATATGGTTTAATAAACAGGTTGATAAAAATATAAATAATAAGAACAATTTGACATTTGTCCATGCTCACTATTCATTTTTTTAAGAAATTGATGCTTGTAACATATTCTATTTGCTCAATTTTAACAGATGCATTTTTGTGGACGTCGCATGGCGACGTTTCCGTATGTTTTACTTTTTCCAGTGAATACTTCATCTGTTGATAATGATATATACTGTGAATGTTTTGTGTATATATTTAAATATATATTCCTATGTTGGAAGTTGCGCATGATAATGTCAAATCATAAAAATACAATTTTTTTAGTCTCTAAGAAAACTTGTAAGATTTCCACAGCTAGTTTTGCTAAATAGGTGCAATTTGGTTACTCGGTGCAATTTGGGTACTGTGACGTTAGATGTTCTCTCACCCAAACGTAACACAGAGGTATTGTCATCTTGTGTAATTGAACACTTTATGGGTCATTACAATTAAAATGGACTCAGTGCGTAGATACAACTTGACGATGATTGCTTTTGTTTTGATCCGTCTTTAATCATATTGTTTTCTCTAGAACTTCATCCCATTTTATATATAAAATATAATATACACATAGAACTACTACAATGTACTTATTATATGTTGTTTCCATAGATTTAGGGGTAAATTAGGGTTGAACACTTAGTATACTCTTACCCGAGTGTTTTTTTTTAACAGACATACTAGATGACGAGTTTCTTACTTTAGTAGCAACAAACATTGGAAATGAGTGGGACTCTTTGTTTATTAATCTCGGATTTAAAAGGAATAGACTGGATCATTTTGCATATAAAAAGAACTCTTTATTGGAAACAGTACTAGATGGATTACATAATTGGAAGAAAAAACCATTAACAGACGAGCATTCAAAATCAACATGTATTAAGGAAATTCTTGACTTAGTTATAGAGGGATTACAAACAAATAAATGCAAGGGTATCGCTGATGAAATCCAGTCAACCGTCTCTAGCTCTGGTAAAATATAAATACATGTACATTCACACTTTAGATTTTAACATGAAACAATTTAATTTAATAAGATTACAGATATTTATTCACGATGTGAAACACGTTGTTTTTAAAGTTTACGTAGGATGTTTAATTTTAAGTCCTGTGTGTGTTTGTATCAAAATATGAAATGTCCCGTTCATTATTAGTTTCAAGATCTTAGGTAGAAAATGGTTTCAAACCTCAAAAGTTAAATTTTGAAATAAATGATCTCTGATAATTAATTCATCCGCATCAGTTATAAACCTACTAATTATTTGTAATCCTTTCTGCTCTAGATCATGGATCCATCCGCTTGTATTCAAGGCGGTTATCTGCATTTTCCTATATCATTTATTTCGACATGATTCCTTAATCATTTACAATTGGTGTGTACTACAATTATAGCCAATTATATACTCTTTAATATGGTAACAAGTAAGTATGTAGCCAACATTCTATTTATACAGTTAATAAAAACGATATTTCCTTTCATTAAGACATCAACCAAATCATTGATCTTCTCAGCGACCAATTAACAATGGATGAGAGACGTCTTGTGTTTAGTTCTCTTAAAATAACACATGAAAGTATTCAAAGAGCATATACATCGAGCCAATCATTGAAGGCAGAAACAAAGGCTATACTGGATAATTGGTATAAAGACTTACATTTCAAATACTGGAAATGTCAAGAGCTTTTCACAGTGTTCAGAAACAGAGGCGAACTGTCTTCAATAAAGAATATCACAGAAAAGTATATGATTTCAGGTATATTTATGACAGACTTATAACTTAGTATGCAAGTTGCTCATTTTGTCAATCTAAGAGTCACACGGGACACATTAAATAGTTTGGGGAAAAAGTCAATTGTTCCCTTAGATTAGAAAAGCATGTGTATCGAAACAAATTAGGAACAGTCAATTTACAGAGAATGGCTGCATCAACGACCGGCGTGCTGACTACCGTGCTACTAATACTCTCTGCATGAAACGTCCACTTACAATGGCATCGATCAAGTAGCTGTAAATGGTCGGACAGAACATAATAGAAATAAATTTAAAGAATATATATATAAAACATAATACGAATAAAACATTTTAACAAAAGTTAAAATTTGTATTACCGTAACATTGCTTTAATAGTCGCTAGCATAAATTATATCCGATAAAGAGTGAAAAAACCCAACGTACAAACATTTATTCACATGTACATGCACTCATCAATTTTTTACGAGATATTGTTCAAATATTTCAGGTCATGTACTTATGGTTGCCAATGACGATTGGATAAAAATATCTTTTAAACGAAAATATCATTTTTCAACTTATTTATTTATTTTCTTTTCTATCTAGTGAATTATTTACGTATTTGTTGATTTTTTGTTGATTGGTTTTAAATTAGATTAATTAAAAAACAATAAATGAAAAATCAACAAATTGATTAATTTATTTCATTATATGGAGGAATACCTTAATAATATACACTAGACACACCATTATGAAACACAAAATAATTTTTAATCATTAAGGTTGTATGTTTATATGCATATCATTAATCGACAGCAGTGAGAAGTATGTGTTACCCAATTGTCTAATATAAAAAAGAAGATGCGGTATGATTGCAAATGAGACAACTCGTCACAAGAGACCAAATGACACAGAAATTAACAACTATAGGTCACCGTAAGGCCTTCAACAATGCGCAAAGCCCATACCGCATAGTCAGATATAAAAGGCTCCGAAATGACAAATGTAAAACAATTCAAACGAGAAAACTAACGGCAAAATTTATGTACAAAAAAAATTAACGAAAAACAAATATGTAACACATCAACAAACGACAACCACTGAATTACAGGCTCCTGACTTGGGACAGAAAAATACATACAGAATGTGGCGGGGTTAAACATGTTAGCGGGATCCCAACCCTCCCCCTAACCCGGGACAGTGGTGTTACGGTACAAGAACGAACTGTAAAAATCAACTGAAAAAAGCTTAACTCATCAGATGGATACAAATAGAAATACATCTTACAAAAACACAGAGTGGAAGTGGTCGGGTACTTGTACATTCCAACAACAAAAAGACACTAAGTACAGATCTGAGAGTACTCGCAGTTACTGACAGCTAGTTAAAAGCCAATAACAAATAATAAAAAAAAAACTATTTTCAAGGACATTTAAAGGGTCAAAGAAGAAATTTTTGCATGAAAGTAGAGACTGAAAGAAAAACATAGTAATTAACAAAGCGACAAAAACACAGTTCTATCGATAATTGTAATATTTCAAAAAAAATATGCAAGTACATTTTAATTGTAGATGAATCAAATGACAACAGAGCAGAATCAACTGAGAACAGAGCAAAAGCAAGTAATCAAGGAGGGAATTCAGTATTATCGGTCACTGAACAGAAAATTAATTCAAAGAAACGATTGATTGGTAAGTGTACGCATATCATAAACTTATATAATTATTTCATTTTTGTAGCAGAAAAGAACTTAAATAAAAAAAAGCAAATCAACCAAAAATATTTGCAACTTTTGTTCATCGAAAAGATTGCTTCCAAAAAAATACTGTTTTTACTGAGCTTTCATTTAACATCAACCTTGTACAATACTAACGCAGTAAACCGCCAATGGTAAAACTAACATCAAAGTGTGAAGAGAGAGAGCCAACACCTTGGCCTATAGAAAGACAAAAAGACAAATTTGCGTACACACAACAATAAACAAACACTTTACAATATTACACAAAACGAATTCCATCATACATGGAGTGCAGCTCAGATATACGAAAGGGAAAATAATTTCTATTAAATAGTGACAACTGACACTGTAAATCCTGGAAGTGATTCAGTTAATTTGTTTTATATATTTTTGAAGGTAAAAAAAGTATAAAAAAGCATTCATAAGAAACATGTAACCATAAGCTATAACTAATTTACAGACGAGACATCAGATGTTAAAGATTCAGGAGGTGAGATGAAAAAACCTAAACATGGCGATGATACAGGTAAGCATAGTTACAAAGTGGCAAAATACCTTTTTTCGTGACACATGCTCCGTTGTAATGTATGGGTTATTTTTTATAAAGAGATTGGATAACATGGATACAGGAAGTATTCAGATCACATCTTTATAAATTATAAGCTTAACAGCATGTATAAAACTATACGAAACGAATCAAATATTGGTCACAAGAAACAAAACCTTTACTTTTACATTGGTTTAAATTAGCTTTAATTTTTGTCATTAAATATAATCGTAAGTAAAACTTATTTTGTGTAAACTGGTCCAGCAACTTTTGAATTGCTAATATTCGTATTAGCTGAATCAGTCTATATCGGAACTTAATTTTAACGTTATGTAGCAAAATATGCAAGTACTACTACGAGTACTTAGTGTATTTTGTTGTTGTGGGAATGTATAAAAACCCTGCCACGTCCGGTCTGTGTATTTGTTAGATGTTTTTCTGCTTTGAATTCATCTGACGAGTTAAGCTCTTTTCAACAGATTTTTATAGTTTGTTCTTATATTGTAGTGTTACACAACTGCCCCAGGTTAGGGGGAGGGTTTGACGAAAATAAACTAGTTTAACCCAGCCACATCCTGTATGTGACTGTCCCAAGTCAGGAGCCTGTAATTCAGTGGTTATCGTCTGTTGCTGTATATCATATTTGTTTTTCGTTTGTTGCTCTGTGCATATAATAGGCCGTTATTTTTTTTTTAATTGTTTTACATTTGTCATTTCGGGGCCTGTCATAGCTGACTATGCGGTATGGGTTTTGCTTATTGACAAAGGCCGTATGGTGACCTATAGGTGTAAACCTCTATGTCATTTTTTCTCTTGTGAAGAGTTGTCTCATTGGCAATCATACCAAATCTTCTTATTTTTAATTTTGCTATATACTTTTAGTGAATTCTACAAATAGTGATGAAATAAAGTGAGTCACACAAATTGCCATCATGTCATTTATGTATTCTATTCAAACTGCCTTTGAATTGTAATTCGGCTTTGCTTGAATTAAAAACGCATGAGAATGGTTGCATATCTATTTTCTTCGGAACATGATTGTACCAAGTCAGGCATATGACAGCAGATTAAGTCGAGCGTTTGGTTTTGTCAGGTTTAATGGACTTCCGCCTTTTTGTATTTGCATTGGAGTTCGATTGTTTTGTTAATGTAATTTTATTATTATAGAAAAATAAATATTCCTAAAAATATAACAATATGATAATACATATTAATGTACGTTTTTGGTTTTGCTATTTTAGACGAATCAAAGGATAATAGATTTCAACTTAGTGTTAAAGTTCATTCATTATTAACATCCACATCAGAACAAAAAGTTAATTCAAAACGATGCGCTGGTAAGTACAATAATTTTAAACAAATACAATTCTTACAGACATGTAGACGAAAACAAAAGACCGGCGGCAAAAAAAAGGATATGCACAAAACCACAATAAGGCAACACAAACAAATCAAAATCAGTGTGATCTCAGATGCCTTAGAAGAGTGAGTAATAGAGATTTACAATAACTGTCGGACTCGGAGTCCTAGTACGAGTACGACTACAAATCATACAGGTAGGCTATAGGGGTGATCTCAAAATAATGAATACGCTAATTAGTTTTACCGTGTTCAATCTTTGTGAGGTAATAGGACAAAACCATCTATGAAATTAATTGACTTTTTAACTGAGGGGTAGAAAGTGCGCTTTTTCGTTTTAAGCTCGCTTATAGATATGTGCAGAATTAAAAACCTTTCACAACAAAAATGTATTGCTTCAGTTATTTGATAATTTTGATCATTTACATTTAAAAAATGACATTTTTCAAGGGTAAAAAATTATCCTTTCATAACTGAGGAAATTATTTAAAAGGAAATTGGATAATACTTTTGTTCAGATTTTTTTTAATAATTTTTTTTATTTTTTTTTAGGGGGGAGGGGGTGGGGGTTATTTGTTTCCACCGTATGTAGTCTTACGGAATAAGATAAACATTTTCAATTGAATGATTGCTAATTTTATCATACCTTTTTGGGTTCGGAATATTTGATTTGTTTTTACTGCGAATGAATTGAAATGCAATACTCCTGTTCGCATTGATTCTGTTGAGAATAAAAGAACGGAGTTCCAATGTCCCCTTCGTTGCACATATTTTATCTGGCCAAGGGCAATACCAAGTTTTTTTAAATACCTTGCAAGAATTGTACACGTGTGATCACTTGCAATGCAATTTTCTATAGAATTTTTATTTTCAAGAAACATATCATTTTTAAAAACAGTTGATCAACACGGATTTTCGAAGTCATGGGAATTCCTGATAACAACCTTTGAAATAATTTTTATAAAATCTGGCAAATTGTACATACAGGTATTGAAAATGTTATTTTTTTTTTTGGAATAGACATTAAGTTTTCTGTATTATTGTTTGACTGGTGCCACATGTCAAGCATTATCTGCTTACCTTTCCGGAGGACCTGATATCGTCCCTGGTTTTTGGTGAGGTTCGTGTTGCTCAGTTTTTAGTTTTCTGTGTTTCTTTTTGTATACTGTTTGTCTTTTTGTCTTTTTCGTTTTGTGCAATAGCATTGTCATTTTGTTTTCGACTTATGAGTTTGAATGTCCCTTTACTATCTTTTGCCTCTCTTTGACCTTAGTTCTTTTGTTTCTTTTTTCGGGGTTTTCTTTTCTTGAAGCTTCAAAATTTACAAGAGCATCATAAATATTATCTGCAATTCTGGTTGTAGCATTATCTGTGGATATTTCTTCAGCTTTCGCCGCAGCATCGCCTGCATTTATATCTCCATTGTCAGGCCCATTATTCGTTTGTTTTTAATTTATGTTCCTCTACTGCTCCCACAGGAAAGGTGGTTCCTGACCATCGTCAAGAGAAAGGTGGTTAATTATTTCATCAGCAATACACGACATAAAGCCATAGTTCAAGTTTGTGATAGTCATTGATTTACCGAAACAACTTACAATTAACACTATAATGATTAGAGTACAATGTTAACAATAATTTTATTATTTTGAGATCGCTCTTCGTCATTTAAACTGTATTACTGTAGCTCTGATCGTATTTGGACTCATACACATATTGTAAATCTCTAATACCTATAAACAGTAATTTATAGGTGTTCAATTCGCATAAAGCTTTTATTTATTTCTATTCACACTAAGAAGTATAAACGGATGGAATCACAACAACAGGAGTGAGACCAGATGCGTCAACTGGAAAAGCAACTCTTGCTATGCATGTATCACCTAATCCAGAAGTAATACACGGACCTGTTAATGTCAGAATGATTCATATCTTTTTTTAATCTATCGAAGGCGTTAATAAACTCAACATAGATACCAAGATTTAGATTGTAAATGCAGGACGCAGGATGAGACAAATGCATTAGTAAGAAACATAAAACTTAAAGTTAAAACTTATTTACAGACGAAATAGTAGATGTTGAGGATTCAGCGAGTAACAATAAAAAACCAAAACACGAAGAAGATACAGGTAAGCCAAGTTTTAATGTGCCAATCTGAGTTAGTTCTTATTTCATTTCTTGAAACATTTACTGCCTTATATTCTATTGTCATATTTTGATTAAATATATTGAATTAAAGAAGTATTCAAATCACGTCTTTGACAATCTTAGTCCTTACAACGGATATATATAATATAAAAAATAAGAAGATGTGGTATGATTGCAAATGAGACAACTCTCCATAAGAGACCAACTGACACTAAAATTAACAACTATAGGTCACCGTACGGCCTTCAACAATTAGCAAAGCCCACAAAGCATAGTCAGCTACAAAAGTCCCCGAAATGACAAATGTAAAACAATTCAAACAAGAAAACTAACGGCCTAATTTATGTATAAAATAATGAACGAAAAACAAATATGTTACACAGCAACAAACGACAACCACTGAATTACAGGCTCCTGACTTGGGACAGGCACATACAGAATGTGGCGGGGTTAAACTCGTTTGAAGGCGCCTACCCTCCCCTAACCTGGGACAGTGGTGTAACAGTACAGCATAAAAATCAGTTGAAAAAGGCTTAACTCACCAGATGGATACAAATAGAAATACATCTAACAACAAGAATGTGTCCATAGTATACGGATGCCCACTCGCACTATCATTTTCTATGTTCAGTGGACCGTAAAATTGGGGTCAAAACTCTAATTTGGCATTAAAATTAGAAAGATCATATCATAGAGAACATGTGTACTAAGTCTCGGACGAACGGACGGACGAACGAACGGACGCACAGACCGAAAAACATAATGCCCCTAGGTGGGGCATAAAAACACAGAGTGGACGTGGACGGGTATTAATACATCCCCCACAACAAAATAACACTTAGTACAGATCTGAGAGTACTCGCAGTTACTGACAGTTACAGACAGCTAGTTCAAAGCCAATAACAACTAAGAAAAAAATCATGCATCTAAGACTAAAATATCAATCAGTACACATCAGACATCCAATGAATTTAGTGTAAAGACGTCATAAACAGTCGGAAAAAACATGACATTGTGCAATGCCAAGATACAGGTATCGACAGATTGTAGAACCATGAATGTGTATATGTATATATAAAAAAAATTTAGTTTGATTTTAATTTACTGATAACAAAATCAATATAAACAATATTCAAAGATCTAATTACAGTGTTGAATTGGTAACCTTTTAGGATAAGTTTATTTGAAAAATATAGATACTGGTAACAATAACTTGTGATATCAGCAAAATATTTCTGTAGTAATCAACAAACGCAAACCTTACACCGTTTTCGATTTCCTTAAATACAATGCATTTCTTCATTGAAGATAGTCTAATATTTTTTTTATAATCGGATAGTCGTCTAACTTATAAATTTACCGAATATTTCCTATTCCCGATTGTGAAATTATGACTGAGTATTTATTTGCATAGCGGTAGATGCATTTATTGCCGGAAACTTTTACCATGGCGACACCCCCTTTCTTGGTCTCTAAAGAGTTCATGCGATCCCTCAGTTTTTGATTATTCCATTGATTTGTCCTAATCGATCTATGAGTTTAAACATCGGTAAACTACTGTTGCCTATACATGTGTATTTACCTTATGTTGTATCAACGCAGTCAACAGCATTTTCAATGCTATTATCCGGATCTATTGAATCTTAATTAGAAAGTAGCTTTAAAGTTATACACCAAATTATGCAAAGTACTCTTTTCTTAAAGATTTTGGGTAATTCCACATTTATTCGTTAATCAACTATGAATAATTTCACATTTGAACGTTTCTGTCTGTCTCATATATTGCCATCGTGTCGTTTATGTACTGTAATTTTCCTCAGTTTTAAGTTTCAAATTTTAAACGAACAAACCTTTTCGCGAGATTTTATTTTTGCATTTTTCCTGATCTGAATTCTGATCTTACTTTAAAACCAAATAGACGCATGGAAATACTTTACATTTGTGCTTTTATTTGAGTCACAACATTAGCAAAAATAATCTGCTCGCGAAATCACCTACCTTTCTGTATTCGTTTAATTTGAAACGTCGTTTGTTTAAATGACGATTTCATGAGCGTGTTCGCATTTTGCTATAACTTTGCTATCAAAATTATGTTCATCCGTCCAGAGCACTTGAGATCACCCTGGTTTTTGGTGAGTTTCGTGCTGTTCAGTCTTTAGCTTTCTGTGTTAAGTTTTGTGTACTGTTGTTTGTCTTTTCGTCGTTTTTCGTTTTTTTCCATGGCATTGTCATTTTGTTTTCGACTGGTTAGTTTGAACATCCCTTTGATATCTTTCTCTTTTACGGTATTGTAACAAAGAAAGACACAAGTTATACAGTACAGCCAACTTAACAGATTACTATATTTCTTGAAATGATTGTCAAAGATTCTTTTCGCGAATAGATATTTAAAATGCAAGAACGCCAATCAAGTTTAGTTCATATTTTTAGTAAAAGGGGAACCAACTCAGAATAGTTACAGTGGACTTCGTAAATACCAAGAAGAGTTAGCAGAGAATGCACTTCAAGGGAAAAACACAATAATTTGTGCAGTGACGAATGCGGGAAAAACAATTGTCGCCTTCCATATAATCGATGAACATATGAGACGAAATCCAAATGGTATGACCCTTAAATTTATCACATTTGATATAATACATCATTTACTTGCACATCATGATTTACATATTAAAAGTTCAATTTTAGATAGAGAAAGTCATTTACTGTTTGTACTGTGGGTTTGATAAAAACAATATCAGGTAATTACAATTTGATAATGCAACTTCAAACTTTCACTGTACTATATTCACATGAATGAAATATTTGGTTTTTTCACTTTTCTAGCCAAGGTTGTATTTATGGCAAGAACCAATCCTTTGTTAGATCAACAATACAAAAAAGCATGCGACATCCTGAAGTATTTGCAGGTATATTTGATAACCATATTTTAATTGAAATGCTCCAATGAATAACATCCTTTGTACTATGGAAAACATGATACTGATAAGACATGTTAGAGGATCATTTACATTTAGACCTACGACATCTATGAAATTACAAATATGTATGGAGAAAAATCAAAACCTCATGGAAGTTTCTTCATCTTTGCAGTTGCCTAAATAAATTGAAAACCCATAGCATAAAACATCGTGTTAAATGGTAGTTTCTTATGACAATATAAAGAGATTCGGTTTCTACATCAATTACACAGTTATCAAACAACACCAATTACGAAAAGGAATTTAGAGGTCAGCACGACAATAAAAGCCAGGTGTCTATCCAAAATGTCGAGCTTCAAATCACTCTGAATCTTAATTTTGTACATATAAATGTATGATACCTTCATGAAGGTCTCTCACCATACACAATAACTGTCGAATTTAGCTATTAAGACATAAATGTATATTCAGTGCTAAATCTTAATGTTGAAGAAAATGTTTCAAATATGATTCAAATTGCGACTTAGGAACATATGTAACAAAAATTCCAGTTTGAATATTATTAATAATAATTAAGGAAGGTTTTACTCATTTATCATTTGGGGCAATATTCCTAATGCACCTCAAATTGAGGTACTCAAATATAGTTTGGTAATATCTGTGCAGTGATATTGGAAAAGTTTCCTATATTTAACAAATGACTGAGCTTAACTATTTGTGCTGACTTGAAGAGCAGATGATCATAGAAAAAAAGAATTAAAATTAAATGTTTGCAAAGGACTGAATTTTTAAGGATCTTATTGTATGAAAAAGGGATCTTTTACCTCGAGAAGACGCATCACAAAGGGCTGTTAGGGGTATGCTAAATTACTGGAAATTTGATCTCATTTTGTATCCCGAAAATTTACCACATACGGGAACACATCTCATCTTTGAAACAAGCCATCATACATATTCAAAATATGATATGGGCAGAGGATTTAACAAAAAATGCTACCATTTCTGCCTACCTTAAATGAATTGCACATATTAACCAAATTGAATGATTACTCAAAGGAAATGTCTATGAACTCTATTTCCTCGCACCTTATAATTCGAAAATCAAAAGGTGAAAAAAGCTATTATAAATCGTCAGATGATCTTTTAAGATATTAGTCTGACTGGTCTCAGGATTTACATTTCTACATATTTGTATTACAAACTTCATATGATAATGTTTATATTCAACACAAATGCAAGAAAATTGTTCTAATACGCTGTAGATTGGGCTAATTGCAAAAGATATAAATACCATGTAGGCATTTATATCTTCTGTGCGACTTTTCTTTCAGGAATCTAACGACATTAAACAATTTCTAGTCGGACAAGAAAGCACAGATGAGTCTGCACGACTGCAGTTCGACAAAGGTCGTCTATTCTTTATGACGCCTCAATTGTTAATGAATAAAATGAAATTAGAGGAGAAGTTTCCTGTGCCTATAGATACATTTTCCATGCTAGTTTTGGATGAATGCCACCATGTACATGGGAAAACACCATATAACGATATAATGGCAACTTATCGGAAAGCAAAACATGATGCAAAGGAAATGAAATTGCCGCAGGTATGCATACGATGTTAGTTTGTCATCTTATAAGTTTGAATATCCCTTTGGTATCTTCTGCCTCTCTATTAAAAGTATTAAATTATTTCTCTTTTTTCTTATTAAATCCGTCCGGAGCACCTCATGATCATATCATTCCCTGTTTAAATTGGGGTTCATGTCTCTGAGTCTTTAATTTTCTGTTTATTGTTCGGTGAAATTGTTTGTCTTTGCGTCGTTTTTTCGTTTTTTACTATGGCGTGGTCAGTTTCATTCCTTCTTCTGAATTTTTCTCTTTGTTATCTTCCGCCTCCTAATTTATATCTGTGTAAATACTTAAATAACTTCGAAATTTGCAATTGTTTATCTCTTTTTATCAAATAGTTATGTCCTTTCAATATTTAGTTCAATTCTATTCATGCTTCATTTCAGATAGTAGGTTTAACGGCCTCTCCAGGAACAAACAAAGCTAAAGATGAGTTTTCAGCAAAGGAACACTTGATGAAGGTCATGACACAAATGGATGTAGTACATTTGTCTACCGTTCGTAAGCATAAAGATAATCTTCAAGAATATACCTCTGAGCCGGAACAAGGTAAACAAACGTTTATTTCCCTTTCGATCAGCATTTCCCATGATTCATGTATACATTGTGACTTCTCATAAAGAAAATGTGATCTTAGTAATTATTGATCTATACCACATGCCATATTTTGCATAAATTATTTCTATTAGAACGCTGATTTTGTGGACATTGTTTTTTCAGTTGTATTACCGATGAAAATCAGAACACGAGATCCAATACGACGTAGATTAGAGTTATCAATATCCTATGTTGAAGAATTGTTTCAGTCTGAAAAGGGTTAGTATTGATTCCATTGAATACATATTAAAACATTGTTGTGACGTCATTCTGTTGTTGTATCCGTTCTTTATTTCAGTGATTGGACTATCATTTACCTGTAAGACAATAAAGTCTCTAGTTCGGACAGTGTGTTACTTGCCATTTTTTGTATACCCTTTCCAAATTTATTTCTTCGTGCTTTATGCCTCGATCAAATAGCAAGTAGGGGGATGACTTTTCACTGTAAAAAAATTGGGTCATGAATTTTAAAGTAAAGTAGTGATTTGGTCTAGCTGAAAAGGTTAAAAATAGTATTTCGGAAGCTGTCAAAAGAATTCAAGACCCCCTTAAGATAAAATTGTCCATATTTTGAGTAAGAGCTGATGAAGTTTTCTATAATTTTGCATATATGTCTAGAAATGTGTCCCAAAAGAAGTACACAACACTGTAAAAATATTAATGATAAAGCGCAGGTGGAATTTTTTTAATTTTCATTTATTGTCTAAAAGAAATGCATTACGAAATAACTGTGTTCTCGGGCCTAAGAGATGAAATCCGTAAATATAGAACCTGTACTTTGGCAACTTATCTGAATAATTTAATAGTGGCAAATTGTCAAATAGCATAAAACTAAAGGATTTAAACTTTTATTTGATAGAAATTCTGCAAAAATGTCCCATTTTGGCATTATATGGTCAAAATAAGCATTTCAAAGCCTTTTCAATTTTTATGCATAAGTGGCATTCTGACTTTCTATCTGACAGGTTTTCATGTGTCATTATTTGTGTTTCCAGGCTTTAATCAAGTTGTATTATTCATTTGTGAACTCTGAATCTAGAGAAAAGTAGATTATCACAGACAAAATGTGCATAATGTGTTGTGTGAATGGTCCTTGTCTAACGGCCTGTTTGAAGAAAGTAAAATGTGAGGAGCTTGGTACATAAAAGTTGAAGTCCATAATGAAGGTTTCACTAAATTTGTATAAAAAGCACTTTACAATGTCTTGTGTACCTGTTTCGTTTCACATACTATCTTTCTTTTCTTCTGTAGGATAGCAAGTGGTTCAAATATATGCCTGTTGAGACTAAAATTGCATGCAAGTTTTTCACTGAAAAGTGAAAAATCTTTGTATCAGACCATACTGTCTGCAAAAAAAGTTGAATGCAAGAGTCCTTTTGTACTCAGACTTCTTGTATCATGTCACTTGAGCAAAGAAATGAGCAAAAAGAAACAAGTTTTCTATTTCCTATAGCTTCAGTATGCATTTTTAAATGTAAACATGTGCTACGACCTAAATCGACCCTAAATTATTTTCAGTCTTTCTTGGCCTAAGACCATTTTATACTCATATGATATGCTATTTGTAATTTTTCTTTCCATTTAAAGTACATTAAATACATATGGAAGGATTATTTATAACAAAAAAACTTCACAAATTTAAAATTGCTTGAAAAAATTACATCTTCATGGAAGGCCCCCCTTCATTCGAAAACCTCTATTTTCAGGTACAGGTTCACATAAAATTGACTTTTGAATAATTGTAATAAATCTTATACATTAAATGAGTATTCTATTGCTGTTAATACATGATATATTAAATATAAGGGCATTTAAAAAGTACTTTTTTGCAACATTTGAATTTTTAAAGCACAAAATGTTGATAGTTGGCATGGAATTCTTCAATTTTTACGTCAAAATTTAACACGCAAAGTTTAATATAAAATTAATCATATTGCCTATAATATATATCCTGTTGACATGACACTTGATCAACAGTCTTATAATTTATTAAGCTTTGGTCATACCAAGTTTGATTAAGATTCGTGAATTCTTTCTACCTTATTAGGTTCGGGAACACATTTATCGTCCTTTGATTTTCGTTGTCCCTAGTGTGGACAGTGTAATACTTGCAATTTTTTTTTATACCCTTTCCAAATTTATTTCTTCATGCTTTGTGCCTCAAATAGCAAGTAGTAGGGATGAAATTTCACTGTAAAAAAATTGGGTCATGAATTTTAAAGGAAAGTAGTGATTTGGTCCAGCTGAAAAAGGTTAAAAATAGTATTTCGGAAGCTGTGAAAAGAATTCAAGACCCCCTTAAGATAAAATAGTCCATATTTTGAGTGAAGTTTTCTATAATTTTGCATATATGTCTAGAAATTTGTCCCAAAAGTAGGACACCAAACTGTAAAAATGTTATTGAGAAAGCGCAGGTGGGATTTTTTTAATTTTCATTTATTGTCTGAAAGAAATGCACTACGAAATAACTGTGTTCTCGGGCCATTAGGTTACCTTCAACTTCCAATATTTTTTACGAATAACCCTCCTCTTTCTTAAAAATATTGGACAGCTGAAGATAGCATAATTGATTCGTACAGGTAAATGATAGTTCAAGGACTGAAAAAACAAAACACAATTTGTTTCTTCATATGAAAAAACTTTTCAACGAAAGAACACATGACAATTACACAAAAACATTTTATTTTATTTTTCTTCATGTCAAAATGCTAGATTTTGATTGGTTAATAGGAGGGAGACAAATTTACTCTATCCCATGGCAAATACTCTATTACGGAGACGCTTGATCAAGTTTGCGCTTTAATAAATACGGATTATTGTTATGTACAAGACGTCATAGTTTATGACTTTGAATTTGAAATTTAATAGACAGTAATAACAGAACATTCAGTATAATAAATTAATTAACACATATCTGAGAGGGTGATAGAGCAGATTGTTACCCCTCGAAAAGACATTGTCAACCTTGGCTTCGCCTTAGTAAACAATGTTTTCTCGGGGTAACAATCTGCTCTATCACCCTCTCAGCTATGTGATATTTATATAAAGGTCACCTTCCAATACAATAATTTCGTCACTCATCAAGACGGTTTCTTGAAAAAAATTTTTTTTAACTTTTCCAATAGCCAGCGACACTTATTTCACAACCATTTTTTCAGATGTCTCCTTTAGCATAAATCTGGTTGATGATGCTCGTTGTAATTTGTTTTTGGTGCTTTTAGGTATTTCTTTTTGCAAAATATTTATCCACGTCTGTCTTTGGATATGAAAATCAAGATGGCCTCCATGGCTAAAAATAGAACATAGGGGATAAAATGCAAGTTTTGTCTATTATCTTGGAAACCACTATAAATAGAGAAATAAAATAAAATTGACAAGGGCAGAAATGTTTGGAATGATGAGATCTACCTATTGTCTATTTACTTTCAAACTGTCAGACGCCTTTTTATAGAAGTAATTGCCCTTAAACGACAAATTTTAACAACTTTTTAAAATGTTAGCCTATTATGTTGAAAAACATAATAGATAGAGAGAAACTTTATATCGCAAAATTGATCAGTGAGATAAGTTCTACAAGTAAGTCAACGTGCTTGAAATCGTTTGATGACCCCTTATTGGAGTTATTGCCCTTAAAGACTATTTTTACTATTTTTTTGCGTTTTTGCCTAATATCTGAAAAAGTATAATAGTTAGATAGAAACTTAGATAGGCAAAAATAATCAGCAAGACAAGATCTACAAATAAATCGAATAGTTGAAATCGTCTGACGACCCCTTATTTAAGTTATTACTCATTAATGATGGTTCTGACCTTTTTTTTTTGTGTTTTTGCCTAAAACTATAATAGATAGATAGAAACTTAAATAAGCAAATTTGATCAGCAAGACAAAATCTACAAATAAGTGACATACGGTATGGGTTTTTCTTATTGTTGAAGGCCGTACGGTTGCTAATAATTGCTTACATCGATCACTTCATTTGAACTTTGGTGGATAGTTGTGTCATTGGCAATCATACCACATCTCCTTATTTTTATAAACATGGTTTAAATCGCCTGGTGACCCCCTTTTAGCATTGTTTAGAGTTGTTCTCTTATATAACGATTTTAATCATTTTTCTTTTTTTTTTGCGCTGTTATCAACTAGCTGAAAAACTATTTTAGATAGATAGAAACTTAGATAACCATAAATGATCAACAAAGAAGGGATTTTTTGTCATGAATTCTATTCTAGTCCACAAAGATGGAGAGTTGTTGAAGAAGCACATAGACCTAGATGAGCGACACATGCTCTTTGGAGCCTCTAGTTTAGAAACCATTAAACTCTTTTTGAAATTAAATAAACATAGGTGCTAGATTTAATCATATGTTTGTTAAAAAAGTTTTAGACAGTTGGTAATTGTGTTAAACAAATGTTAACATAAAATCCTTTTCTGCATTGAATTGATTCAAAAGGGGGAAAGGTGGGTGGGGGAGGGGGGAAGGTATTAATAAAAGTATTTCTACTATGTATATAACCTAAAAATATGAATAACATTTGTTTCTTTCCAATGCATTTATGAACAGTTTCAAACACTTCACTTTAGTTCAGATCTAAAAGATACAATTGATTGAATGCAACAATTATACATTAAGGACAGAAACAAAGATATGTATACTTACAATGCTTTGTTTTGAAAAAAAGCGTTATTTGCAAAGGGAAATCGGGGGACAAAATTATATTTCGGTAACATGAAGAAGAACAAAACACAAGTGACAGCAATATGCAAATAAACTAAAAAAATGAGCGACACGCACCTTGCAGAAAAAACAGAAAAGGGGAGGGTATTCAGGTGGTACAGTTTGGGTAAACAATAACCGTCTCTTGCAAGACAACCGCCGAGTCAGAGTCAATTTTGGTGAACGAGGAAGGAAAGAGGGGGCCTGCGTCATACTGGAAAATTGTGAATAATCTTTTTTCATGTATAGTGGGTGAATAGGTCTGATCGATTTCTTGATCTCCGAACATTTCATGGCAATAAATTTAGATATTATATATAAAAAGAAGATATGATAAGATTGCCAATGAGACAAATCTCCACAATATACCAAATGACACAGAAATTAACAAATATAGGTCACCGTACGGCCTTCAACAATGAGCAAAGCCCATACCGCATAGTCAGCTATAAAAGGCCCCGAAATGACAAATGTAAAACAATTAAAACGAGAAAACTAACGGCCTAATATATGTACAAAATAATATAACTATAACAATTCATTTTTTATGAATAAAAGATATAATATTTTGATCATAATTCTCTTTTAATTCTGAAATAATATAAGATGGGGGAATTCCGATGAACAACAAAAGAATTTAAATTGATTGCACGCTTGTAATCTCTTCATATGTGCTCATTCATTATATCTTATAGTGTTGTTGAAATAAAATAGACTGAGGTGCACTCGATATGGTTGAACCTTTTTCTGCAACGTGAACCTGTCTTCAAGTTGTATGTGCTTTTCTTTTTTGTTCTTCTCATTCACCTAATAACCTAATAAGTATAAAATCTCAAAAGGAATAGGAGAGGACTACATTGTAAAGCTGCTATAACTTTATCCTCTTTGTTGTCCGCACTGAAATCGGATATAACTGAATACACATTTGATTGTAATCCAAAGTTTTAAACAACACAGTTACTATATACAACATCACTTTCTTCTTTTTCTTTGCATTAAGAATATTTTTTCCATTTTGAGACACCAAACGCATGTGAAGGTTTTCACGGAAAATATTAACGTAGTCCTAGCGCACGCAAAAAGCATGATACACATGCACTGTGTCTTCATGTACATGTAGCTATACATGTTGTTTACCTTCAACATTCAAATTTCAACGTTATAATACTAAGAACCCTTATTACTATATACTCGAAAATTAACAGGCTTATATACTTTTTTTAATTTAAGATTGTTATTGCTAAATTTGTAATGTCTCTTATTCAAATCTTATTAAGAAAATCATAATAGTTTGGCTTCTCCCGTAAATTATGGTTTTGTTGACGTGAAAATTAAGCATATCAGTATATTATTGATTTTCAGTTCAGCAGTTCCTGGATATCAAAATGCAAGACATACATGACGTGAAACAAAGCCTACAAAACCCTCCTATTCAAAAATTAGAGCAAACATACGTTCAGTGGATAACAGAAACTAGACTGAAGGTGGAAAATGTTTTGAAAAAAGATGAATATGTTCCAAGACTGCTGTTGACATACTTACGTCATTTAGAAGTAAGTAGTCTGTATATCTCATTTGGTTTTCGCTGTGTATCACCGCCACTTTCTGTATGTGCTTGTTCTACTTCATTTGGTCCCTGGTAGAGAGCTGCCTCATGGGCAATCATTCTAATTCTTTCTATTTCTATATTGCTGTCTGAAAGTTAAAAAAAAAACATTGATGATTCCTACTGTTAACAAGGTGTCAGAAGAGATACGTCGATTTTTTTTTTCTTCTTCTGTCTTTCGTACTTTGTACGTACATTTTTGTAATGTTGCATCTTTACTCTGAATGCACATTGACAATTTTAACCATGATAGAAAGGAATAAATCATGGAAACGGACAACAACCAAGGCAATCGTTGATACGAGACATTTGAAAAAAAAATACTCTATAACTACAAAACAAAAAATTAAGAAATTCAACAGGATTAATAATTGGGAGAATCATCGTTCCTTCGAGTTAATGGTGGGAAGTATGGACAAATTGGAGATACATATGCTCCCACTGAAACTTAATTGAAATTCAATTTGTTATCATTGCAACTAGAAAATTTTATAAAATACTGTCCATTTTTAAATGTTGTAGCCAACTGAAGTCAAATTAAGAAGGAATGAAATGAACAAGTCTCTAACAATGTACAACTTCATTTATGGACGACTACATTTAATTACCTCCAGAGGAAATCTTTGATCCTTATCGGCTAATTTCCAATTGTGAACGTTTTACTGCAACAAAAAAGAGAAAAATGATTCAATGGGTCATTCGAAATGTACAAGTCCAATAAAAACACCATGGTGAAAAATAAAAATATTTCGATGAAAGGACAAATAACAATTAACAACATCATATAAAAACTTAAAACTAAGCAACAAGAACTCCTCGCAAAGGCAGAGTTGAACTGCTGCGTTGTGGTATGCAGTTCATGTTCCACATTGAACACCCGTCATAAAGCTGAAACAAGTAGAAATTCGATACAAGTCAAGTTTCGTAATGTAACAATTAAGAAAAGTGGTCAGGGTTGTGGTTATGACAAGTGGAACCTATCTGTAGTGATACAGATTTTCCATAACAGTCAACCAAACTATGGTGGCGTCAAACATCTTTTGAAGGGCTTACTACAACTTTTCAACTTAAAACCCTTGATGCAACAGCTTCATTATAAGCAATGCAATGACCCTCAATCAATACAATCGTGAAAGGAAACGCAAGCACTGGAAAATTGTATCAAAGGATGGATACAATATTCCGTATGCCGGTGTAGCTGGGATGTTGCTATACAGAAATTTTATATGTTTTGATAAAACACCGAAATACGCATTTAAAGTGTACATCACGAGTTGGTTGAGCGTTATTGAATATCCGTTTCACAGATGATAGCGGATATGTTCCAAATGTCGTAACTACAATCCCGTCCCCCTTTTTACCGAATATGACCTACCGAATTTGACTTATTACCGGGTTTGTACTAACATGAGCAACACGACGGGTGCCACATGTGGAGCAGGATCTGCTTACCCTTCCGGAGCACCTGAGATCAACCCCAGTTTTTTGTGGGGTTCGTGTTGCTCAGTCTTTAGTTTTCTATGTTGTGTTTTGTGTACTACTGTTTGTCTGTTGGTCTTTTTCTTTTTTAGCCATGGTGTTGTCAGTTTATTTTCGACTTATGAGTTTGAATGTTCCTCTGGTATCTCTCTTTTAATTACATTTGTCGTACAACGATTGCTTCATTGATAAAAATATGTTATATATGTTTTCTTAGATATATGCAGAATGTCTGGAAATGAATTCACTTCTTGACACACACGCAGTTGTGGACTTGATAACCAGAAAGTCGTCACAGGAATCAATTCAAAGTAAAAATGCCAATACAATAGAAGAACAAGAAATTTCGAAATATCTAGACGGTGAGTTTATTCCCGGGACATCCAGTGTTATATCAGCTTTTATCCATGACAAACATAAAATTAATTATGACATATTATCTCCTAACAAACTTATGACACTGAAAATCTTTGCAAAAGAACGATGTTTTCTATAATATTAAACACAGACAGTATGTCAAAATTAATAATTAGATATAGGCAAAAACATAATTCACAATTACAAACCAATAACTGTTACAGTATATAGAACTTCTAACCAGACTAATCTTATCTTCCACATGTTCAACACTTCATTGGAAGATAAGATTAGTCTGGTTAAATGAGGCATAATAGTATATCGAAATACTAAACTAAATCATGACCCACAGCATTAATTCATAGCAATTTACTGATCTAGTATTACAAGGCATATCAATATTGCTACAAATGTACTGGTTAGTTTTCATTTCGATGATCAAGGAACGCTTTTGACAACTCTAGTCCAAGAGGTTGACAACTATTCATGAAAAAATGTATTTCAGATGTATGCGCAAACATGAGTTCTCTTAATCCTGAGGAAGTCGAAGAAAATCCAGATGTACAGAAAATTATCCATCTTCTACAGACTGAATATGAGAAACAGGGAGACAACTCTAGGTTTTTAATTTTTGTGAAGACGAGAGCTACTGCCATGTTACTTGCCAAACGACTTGAAAACATGAAAAATCTCAACTGTCAATACTTCACTGGGTCACAGGTTGGACTAGAGGACGGAGGTGAATATGTTCATAACCATTAATCAAAATAACTGTTTATTCGATGAATATTCTTTTTCTTTATGGGATCAATAATAACAACAAAGGAGAACATGCATTTTTAATTTAGGCTAATTTGAATCTGCAAAATCACCGAAAATAAAAAAAATTGTATGATTTTGAAATATATATAATATTTTAATAGATTAATCATAAAACTAGATACTGACCCACTGCACCAATTAATGACGAATTTACTGATCTAGTATTCTACGGAATGCCTATATTGCTGTTTGTTTTAATTTACCTTGAAGTTCGTTATTATTGTTATACTTTTTTACGGTATGAAAAATTCGAAGAAGACTGAGTCTTAAACAAATCTAATTATATATTTGATATATTGTGTATTTGAAAACATTTTGTATTCTTAAATCAAGGACGCCATAAAGCCTTGACGTCATGTCCCCGCACGTATATCTTCCCACAACGTGTTATAAAAAAGAAAAACTCGGAATTGCATTATCCTAATAGGATCAAACAAACAGAGTTTTTAAATATGAAGCAAAAGTATATGTCTGCAGATATTAGCAGTATGCCGAATTCATGCAACGCATCCGTTATTACAAAATAAGCCCAGTGACGGTAGCTGGTCCTCGACCAGTATAATTATAATATTTTATATTTAAGGTTCAATTTTACCCGAAGGCATACATGTTTCTGGAGAAAATAATATACCTTTGTTTTCGTCGTTTTTAAGAAGATTTATTGATTGGGTGTGTGGTGTTTGACCTAACTTTTGATAACCCTTTTTATGTTAAAAGAATATTTTAACCCTTTTTTTGAATGCATATACATTTTGTTCACGTATTATCATTCTTTATTTTAATGTTTGATTTGATTTACTTATTTCAATTCATTCTGTTTTCGTAAGGTCTTACCAAACATAAACAACTGGAAGTGTTAAATAACTTTAAATCTGGTGTGCACAAGTGTATTGTGGCGACTTCAGTAGCCAGCGAAGGAATTGATATACCTGAATGTAACATGACGATAAGATACCGATTTACGGCAAATGAAATTACAAGTTGCCAAATGAGAGGTTTGTAAATAGCTTTAAAGTATGAATTGTATTCTTACAATAAAGATAACCATTAAAAATATATTTTATTTGGCCTTTTTTATTTTTTTATTTTAAAACATATATTAACAGGCGTAAATCTGTTGGGATATACCAACCAATGCAAACAACAAACAAGTCTTAGGTAAACAAACATACGCCTACCGTACTAAACTATAAATCTGTAATATTTGTTGAGTTTTATAATATTATCGATATATTATATCTAATCTGATGAGTCTTATGTAGACAAAACGCTCGTCTGGCGTACAAACTACAAGCCAGGTATCGTTGATGAGTTTTTATACTTCAACTGAAATTCATACGGACCAGCTGTAGCTACTTCCTGTCATGCGGACTGGTCATACGGACCAGTTGTAGCTACTTCGTGTCATACGGAATGGTCATATGGACCAGCTGTAGCTACTTCCTGTCATGCTGACTGGCCATACAGAACCAGCTATATTGACTGTTTTGATTATTTAATAAAAGTGTTACGAACTTGCTGATTCTATATTGGACCTGTATTGATTGTCGGTCAGCTGTATTGGCCCTCGGGACCAATACAGTAGACATTGAATCAATACATGGACCAATACAGAATCAGCAAGTTAGTAACACTACAATATTATTAACCTAAATTCTTAGTTAAATTTAACACTTTAATGGATTTTCAGGTAGAATTAGAACAGCTGGTGGAAAGGAGTTTATCATAGGATCCGAAAAAGAAAATTTACGTGAAACCATTAACATAGAGAGGATGGTGTTGATGAAAAAGGCAGTGAATGCTGTCATAGCAATGACCGAGCATGAAGTTAGAGAAAAGATAAATAGAGGTGAACAACTTCTCTTTCAATCTGAAGACGTTGAACGGAAGAAAGCGCTTGAAACAAGGAAACATAAAGTTGTTGCACAATTCAAAGTAAACTGTAGAAAATGTTCAAAAGAAATTGTTGACGGTCATAATTTACGAATACTTAAAAGTTCACTCCACGTCGTGTTTGATAATTCTATCTATGGACGTATTACACGCAAGCCAATAACACACGTTGTAACTGAAGACATAAAACTGACTGATAAAGTCTCTGGTGAATGTGGACATGAATGGGGACATATAAACCTGTACAATGACTGTGAATTAGTTGTCTTGGCTCAGAAGCATATCAAAGTATATAATGTGGCAAAACAAGGATTTATAAATATTAAGAAATGGAAGGATGTTCCATATAAGATTGAAACAGTGGATGATGATGACATACTTGCTTTCAGAGCTAGTCAGCTTCCGACACCAGAATGACATAAATTAAATAGAAAGGACAGTAACAGTTGTAAAATTCATGTTACCTTTCATGCTTCAAAAAATTAAAAAGTACTTGTATTTGCTACAGACTTTAACTTTGGTAAGGAGTTGCACAGTGTGTAGAATGCAATCAAGCGAATAGAAACGGGCATCACATTATGAGCTGGTGACCATTAGATTTAATATTTCACGCTTTATTTAGAAAAGTGTTCTTTATTGCTATGATTTGTTTCACAGAAGTGTTTGCTAAACCAAATTTAGCTACATGAGTTTCTCTGTATATATATATATATATATATATATATATATAAGTCTAGAGATTTGCACAACGATACTAATATAAGATGGTATTATACGAAGATGTTGTTAATAAATCGTGTTGAAAAATATTTCGGCTTAACAAATAGCCTTCTTCGGTGAAGAAGAAGAAGGCTATTTGTTAAGCCGAAAAACAAATAGCCTTCTTCGGTGAAGAAGAAGAAGGCTATTTGTTAAGCCGAAATATTTGTCAACACGATTTATTAACAACATCTTCGTATAATACCATCTTATATTAGTATCGTTGTGCAAATCTCTAGACTTATATAATTTTTTTCCTTATCTGCACAGTATCGTCTATTCTAGACGATCCGGTACATAGTAAATTTGCTGGTTGGTCCTTTTTATAGACTTCTATATATATATATATATATATATATAAACAAGTCTAAATTGAAAACAACGTTCAAACCTATGATTGCGTTGGATAAAAACCGCAATTTTTATACGTGTGCATGTAAAACAAATTTCTTCGTAGAGGGGTCTAAATACAGCACAAACAACATTTTCCAAAAGACCAAAAAAGTGAAAAAGTATATTTTTAACAAAACGCATTTGACTAACAGGTCGAACAACGGATGTTCTTAAACCCTGCTGACTGCCATTGGCGATTGCGAAATAAATTGATCACTAGATGTAACAAAATGGATCTTAATATTAATTTAATACCAAACAGAATATAATAAACTTGCGGAAAAGATGATATACCAAAACATGAGGTGCAATAATTTGTACACCATATCCGGTTTATATATATATATAAATAAACGCCTAAAAAGTGTACAAAACAACACCAATACATTAAATGTAATTATCTATAAATATTTCGGATGACAGATATCCTTCATCAGTATGATTATGATGTAAACTGAATCATATCAATCTATTCTGATTAAACTATAACAATCTTGAAATTTATACAATAAAACAGTTAAAACCGAACACATAGACATCATAATCATACTGATGAAGGATATCTGTTATCCGAAATAGTTATAGATAATTACGTTTAATGTTTCCTTTTTTATTATTGGTGTTATTTTGTACACTTTTTAGGCGTTTATATAATTTATTTATTGTGTACATGTATCGTTACTCGTAACGATCCAGCGCCCTCGTAAGAAAGATCGTTGACTAGTATCAAGACGTTTTATATACGTTAAGTAAATGAATAGTTGTTAAAAGCATCAACATGCTAGTAGTAATTTTGATAAAACAAAGACATTTTTGAGGCTATTTCTCCTCTCCTTGAGGTTGATAATTATTATAACGTGAACATTGACATGTACGTCGTGTAGTTAGATTTGGGTGTTTGACATCACGTCTCAGATTAAAATACACATACTATAAGCATTGCTGAAAAAAAAAACAAAAGCAAAAAAAAAAAAATACACAAAAACAAACAAAGAAAACAAAAAATAAACACAGCCGCTAATATTACAATGTACATTTTGTAAGTCGACATTAATGCCATATCATCACCATGATCACGTTACGTATCATATCCACTGAATTGCAAAATCATCAAAAGCACTTTTTTTTATGTTGGAGTGTTCCTGAGAAGGAGGTTTTACACTTACAAATTTATTTTCATTCATATGTAGTCTTGTATCATTTTTAATTTTAGTTTCTTGTGTATAATTTGGAGTTTAGTATGACGTCCATTATCACTGAACTAGTATACATATTTGTTTAGGGGCCAGCTGAAGGACGCCTCCGGGTGCGGGAGTTTCTCGCTGCATTGAAGACCCATTGGTGGCCTTCGGCTGTTGTCTGCTCTATGGTCGGGTTGTTGTCTCTTTGACACATTCCCAATTTCCATTCTCAATTTTATATATGTTCAAACTGTTTTTTCTTCGTATGTATACTTGATTATTGTTTTTAGCTGTTGTTTAAAATAATGTCTTATATTATAATATGCTTTTTATGATTCCATTGATTTGATGGAAAATGGAACATCTTCTTCTTGTACTTTTTAAATGGTATGTGTTTAATATAGTTAAATTTCGCATCTTTACATTACAGGTTACAACATTATTAAAAGTCACTGAGTTCAAATATTCTTTAAGAAAATTCTGTAAAAAATTGTGCTAACCCATATGGTTTTATGCAGAATTATTACCGAAAACTATGGTAGTTTGCCAAAAAAGTCAAAATCGAACTCTATTGCCTTACTAACTTACCAAAGTGGATACCATCATTAAAAAAGTTGAGGTATACTTAAGTTATTGAAGGACAAATACATGTTCATTTTTCACATTCTTGCGTGTCCCATTGTATTCGGATGGCTATTATAGAATTCCAAGAAGTTTACAAATTAATCCATTGCACAGGCAAGATTTAGTGTAACTTTCATTGGTGAAATTAAGAAAACAAAATAATTAGAATAATACAAAACAATAATAATAGTAATTAAAAGAGGATTCTCAATTGGTCATGACTTTCGTTCTGAGTTACATGAGCAAATCCCTTTCCAATCAATCAATCAATCAATCAATCAATCAACCAATCAACCAACCAACCAATTACTAAGTCAATCAATCAATCACCCAATTATCAATCAATCAATCAATCAATCAATGACTACTCTACCTACGTTGTAGTTATTGCATGAATATTGTCTAAATTTTGATATTTGTTTTGCATATGACCTTTTTAATTTCTCGATCATTTATACCGAAGAAAACATGTTATTTTTACCAACGTTTTACGTGGTTACATGTGAAAAAACAACTGTGTTCTTATGAAGTGATTTTACACCACCCAGGTGTGTGAGGGGGGAGTAGCATTCGAATACATATTCAACCCAGTCACATTCTTTGCGGGCCTGTTAGAAGTTAGGAGCCTTTAGTTCTGTTGTTTTCGTCGGTTGCTGTCTGTCATATATGTTTTTTTTCGTTTCTTCTTTATCATAAAGAGGCGACCATTTGATATTATGCGCTGGGGATAGGGGTGGCAGACGGGGTTTGACAATAAAAATCTGACCTGCTATAATTAAAAACAAAAAATATTAAAATAACCGCGTAAAGGAAAAACGAAAGAGTAGAAACACTAGAATACCAACAAGTGACATGTACTGTTTTCTCCGTCTGACTCTCCTGATAAAGGTAAAAACCCGAAAAGTGCATCTGACTTTATAAAGTGATAAGGTTTTCCCATTTTGCCATTTGGGGCCATTTCGGTATAGGTTTTACTTATTTTGTAAGGCTCTACGGTGACCTATAGTTGCTTATATCGACATTATTTTTTCTTTGATAGGTTGTTATTGGCAATCATACGTCCTCTTTTATTTTTTATGCCTATCAATTAAGGCGTGAGCTTCAATAATTTGCCAGTGTATGGTTACTTATCTTCTTTTGCTTCCTGGTGATTCATCATCATCTTTTCATAAGATGGTATGCTAATCCCCAATTTAAATCTTGAACTTGTAGACTTTTTTTAATTGGTCTTAATAAGATGTAACGGATTATAATCCTTAGTGTTCGTGTAATATTGGCTGATGGACCTTAGTCATCAATTCTAATCATCTTCGATAACTAACCTTTTAAACTTAAAAGTTTTGATCATGCACTCTAATTGTTAAGATTTTTAAAGTCATTTTCGTTCGTCGACTTGATCTCCGATTTAAATACTATTGATAAAACCATGATCAGGCCTCTTTCCCCCCTTTAGTAGCACGGGAAGCTCATATCTCCCCTCTTGTAGTAACATCGGGAACGTCAGTTGGATATCAATTATTCATTAAAGGATAGTAATCATTCTTTTAATTATTTTTGCGTTACCACACCATCATCGTATCATTAAACATTCAATATTAGCTGATTTATTTATATGCGTATTGATATGAAGCAATCCCTGATTTGGTAATCACATCCATTCCCCTCCGTGAACCCTTGGTATGTTTTACTTGACTTTCTGTAGTAGGTCGTAAGGCCCAATGGTCAACCCATGTTATAGTTCAATGAAACCCACATTTTGTCGGATGATAACTTTGTTGTACAGATATGTTTGGAACATAATTATGATGTGACCTTGGATATGATTTCTTTATATATTTTTTGAGACCACCCGGATATGACTGCTTATTGGAGGGGTCCCATCTTATTGAATGAACTGAAATCAATTGATGTCTTGGTTGTGTGTTTCATTTGGTAATTTTGTCCTGTCCTCGTACCATGGGCCCATATCCGTTCCATTTCACATTTCACCCGCAAGAGAATGAAATTGCAAATCAGCGTAACATGACTGAACGAAGCCATGAAATATAAGTGCGATTTTCATGTCAGCCGTACGAATAGATCGCATTTGTTGACAGAGTCAATATATGAATGGGGGTATTTTTTTTCGAATGACTTGACACTTGACATAATTCAATTTCAATGACTATGAAAAAAAATATGAAAGTTCATATCTAAACGAGAAATACTTAGAACTAAATACAGAAATGGAATAAAAATGTCGTTTTTCATATTTAGTTTCAAGATATCAAAAACAAAAAACGAAAACACTTTCGTTTTTCGTTTTGGTTTTTGAAAATTAAAAACGAAAGACGAAAACACTTTTGTTTTTCGTTTTGGTTTGTGAGAAACCAAAAATGAAAAACGAAAACACTTTCGTTTTTTTGTTTTTTTGTTTTTGATTTTTCAAAATGAAAAAAAAATGGACGCAAATATACACGGACCGAGGAGGACATATCTTATTTATATCTCGTTATTGTGTAATTGTTCTCAATATGTACATGGATTGTATGTTATATATGGCGCTTGTGTTAAGCTGTCATTAAATCAATCAAGTGAAACAACTGTCAGTGATGTTACGGGAATCTTTAAAATATAGTTAGGGAAGTTAACTGTTTAGAAAAAAAAAAACTAATAGGAAATGAAATTGGGGTTTTATCTAAAATATAAATATAGAAATCTTTAAGACTAAGTTCGGAATTTTCATTTAGTTAAGTCGGTTATATAGGCATATATGCTTTTGAAATTGTTGCAGATAGATCAACGTAGGTCTATCCTACTGAAAGGTGTACTCTTCCAACAAGCACGCCTTTAAAATCGTATTTATGAATTGTGTTTTAAACTTCTTACCTTTCTGTGCATTTTGTTTTTCTTCAAATGAACCAAAGGTTCCAAGTGGTAAAGTATAAGTCATCCCTTCGAACATTTTACGGACGCCATCACACATTGGTTTACCGCTATGTAATAGTTGTTCCACAGATGACGATGGATATGTTCCCATTGTCGTAACCATACGACCATCCTCTTTTTCTCGTATGTGACGTACTCGAGTGAGACTTATTTTCGCCATGGCGTTGTCAATATAAAATATAGAGATGTTCTATGATTGCCAATGAGAAAGCTATTCAAACGAAGCGAATTTAAGCAATTATAGGTCATTGTATACGGCCTTTAACAATGAGCAAAACTCGTACCGATAGTAAGTTATAAATTTGACATACTTCAAACTAAAAAAAAAAGAATGGCCTGATTTAGGATAAAACAAATAGACGAAAAACAAATATAACAGACAGCAACCAACGACAACCTCTGAATTACAGGCTTCTGACTTGGGACAATTTTTCATAGAATGTGGCGGGGTTAAAAATGTTTGTGGGCGGTTAGGATCCCGCTAACTTGGGACAGTGATGTAACGGCACAACATAAATACAAACCGTAAAAATCAGTAGTTAGAAATAGGTTGAATCATTCGATCTGCACGACGCACAAAAATAAAATAAGCAAAAGACAAAAGACACAGAGTACTCACTGTTACTGAAAGCTAGTTCTAAGCCAATAACATGTTGGTCTTCGATTTATGAGTTTGTATATCCTTTGGTATCGTCTAACTCTCTTTTGAAATCATAGAGATGTTGAGTTTGGTTTGGTATAACAATTGACGATTTAAATATATGTTATGTTACTACGACATAAACCTTTGGCGAATTAAAGTCTGACAAAATCTACCATATAATGAGAACGCCGTTTGAAAAACTACTATAGTATTTCTGGTATGATGTGTAAGGTAAATGATGAGCGTTAGACCATATGGTCATTAAATTGAAATATTCGACGCATTTTGTCTTTTTGTTCAAATAAGGAAAAGATATGTTATCATTTTTTACAAAACTACTCTAAAATATTGTTTTTCTTTTAATTGTTAATTTTTAATTCTATGGCGTGTCAAACGTTGCAATATTCACAAAAAATCAAATATATGTTCATAAAAATAAATAATTGTTCTTGGAAATTAAATATTTGTTCATAAAAACAAAATATTTATTCACAAAACCAAAATATGTGTTCATAAAAAATAATATATATCTATTCATAAAAATAGATATATATTCATAAAATTAGATATATATATTGATTTTTTTATTTTGATATTTTGAATATAAACATCCGATGAGAAACGAAGCTCTTTTCTGGATATACCATCATCAGGAATCAGATAGATTTATAATTACAATTTAAGGAAGTTCGCTACTCAGTTTCAAAATAACAAGCTTTTCATAACACTAGTATATATTGATAGGGGATTAATAAAGGAACAAAAAGAGCAAAAATAAAATATAGGTCAATGTGCTTATTTTCGAGATATTAGCCATTGAAATTTTGGCGGGAAATATTCTCTCTTGATTTTTCTAAGCTTTATCATTGACAAGTTAAAGTTCTCAAAAACTATTAAAAAATAATTAAGATTTTATAAGACTTTCACAGATGGCTTATAATTATGCATGTAAAAGATTTTTAAAAAGAAAAATGGGGGTCAATGGGCATATTTTTTGAAGGCATACAAATAGATAAAACCAGAGGATTCCGAAAATCTGACAAAAAATCCAAAAACATGACAAGCTAACTTCCTTAATTTTCGAATTCAAAGGGTTGAAAAGTGGCCTTATCATTCACTTCTATTCGAATATCTAAGACTGCAAAAAATATGTGGCTAGTGGGTTGAGACACAGACATATTGAATCAATCAACCAATTCGTGATCATGGTTACCGTAAAACTTAGTTTGTGTCGATTTCAGTCATCCGTCCTGATAACTCTGTAGGAGAAGTCTTTGTGTGAGTAGCATGCCCCTGCTTATAACGTCCATATAGTGTGATTGTGCATGAGCGTAACGTATCAATAGAGATATGTAAACGTTATATCAAAATATTCAGTCAAAGTGAAAACAAATAAGCGTTCAAAACCAAGATGCACAATTTTAGCCGGTGTGACACAGAATTGGTTGAAATCTGCATGCATTTCAATTGCATTTTTGTCTTCATAACAGCTTTTCGTGTTATTTTAAGTTGAAATATTTCCTACAGTTCAAACAAATTTTTAGTCAAGATTATTTCCATTATATATATGACAGTATAAGCATTGCTTTAAATAACAATCAAATCTTAATTAAAAACAAAGACAACTTAATATAATTTGTTCTGTTTTGACGGTTTCCAAGCAATTATTTCTCATCTGAAGGGTTTAAAGAAGCGACAAGTTTGAATCATCAAACAATAGAAAATCATAAGAACTGCTGAAATCATCATAAATGAAACGGAGCGCACGTTCCTGCTTTTTATTGTAAATTTTATTTGTGCTTTTATTTTACACTCAAAATTGTTTAGTCAAAGGACAATAGCTGTAAGTTTACACCTGTTAAATGCCATTTGATTTCCTTGACGCTTTTCCAAAAACTATTGGAAAATTATCAACGTAACAGGGAAATACATAATCAGGTGAAGGTTTCGTAAAACATTTGGCCATTTGACGAAAATATAAAAGATTAAACGACTTTTTTTATCTATTCAAACGTTTGTTGATTAAGGTATTAACAAATGCACACATATTATTCAACGGATATAGAATATAAATCAATACAACTAAAAAATTCTGAGTTTATAAATGACCAAAAATTGATAGGTACAGGAAGAAATAAAATTTCCGTTTTGCTTTCGGTTCTCCCAATTAGATAAATTTCAACTTACCATCACCTTAGCTACACACAAATGTTTAAGCATGTCTGTTGTGGACACTTGTTTTAGAGCTTTCATCTTGCTTATAATCGGTGAGTTTTTTTTTCTGAAATGAATATGTAAGCAGTGTTTGTTTTCTATTTTCCTTTTAAAATCCAATTCAGTTGTGGTCTTTGAACTGTCGTGTTAACCAACATTATAATACATGAATTTATAACTTCATCGTTACTATAACTTAGTTAAATCAATAATTTAAAAAGCAAGCATAATTGTAATTGTCAGAACATTTATAGTTTACTCACAAAACAATTACATAGAAAATGTCAAACAGTTTGAATGATGAATTTTAGTGACAATGAAAAACAAAAATGGTTTATTTTTAATGAATTATTGTAGGTATTAGCCATGCGTCGACTACGTGCAGTCCGAATATGTATTCAATATCCATATATGTTGATTATTCCAAGAGAAATTTGACAGAAATACCAAGAAATATTTCACGTAACAGTACAATGTTAGATTTTCACATGAATATTATAACTGACATTCCACCAAATATTTTCCGGAACATGTCGGACGTCACATGGATAGATTTGTCCCAGAATTGGTTGAACCGAATTCGAAACGAATCTTTTGTTGGCCTAAACAACTTAATAGCGCTTAACGTCAGTCATAATCACCTGCACATGTCAGACCTTGAACACAATGCGTTTGTTCCTATACAACAGTTGAGGATTCTGCGAATTGATCATTTAAGGTTTCCAGTTAGGGGTAAGTTTCCAGAGCAACTGGTTAACCTTAAACAACTTGAAATCTTGGAACTAGCCGCTTTCATTGGTATGAAATTTGATGACAGATTTTACTCCTGGACATGTTTGCATACATTCATCTCAAAAAGTTCATATGGGCTTCACTTGCAAAATGATACGTTTGAAGGTCTAGCAAACTCCCCACTAAGGATTCTTACCATAAAGATTAAACAAGCTGACGCTGATGCTTTGGAAAATCTTCCAAGTTTACAAATTGTAAATTTATATTTTGGAGTTGCAACATTGCAAGATACCATTGAAAATTCGTTTAAAATGGTGTCAAAGTTCACAACTTTGACTAAAATACTGATGCAGAGAGTCAACGCTAGAGCATACATCTTTATCATAACTGGTAAATATCTGCATTATTTCGAAAACATATGTCTAAATGAACTTGTGTTTAGACATATGTATTTCTCAGATATCGATGGTCAAAGCTTTGTGAGATTTGCTGAAAGATCTGTTTGCCTTGAAAGTCTGGAGGTTTCTGGAAATATTGGTTCTCCATGGATAACATTTTTAGTCTTATTTAAAAAATTGAAACATCTCAAACTATCATCGATCGAAAACCGTGCTTTGTTAAAACAAGTGCGCATGCTCCCTGCAATGACTATCAGCTTGCCAAAAACCTTAGAAAGCATCGATTTACAAGGAATCAATCTTAAAATGCCGTTACCAAATATTACATTTACAAACGGAGATAATGTTTGGTTCCTCACCTGTAGAGCTTTCACCTTAATTCAATGTAACGGTTACGTAAATGGTTTGAAGAATTTACGTTATCTAGATGTTTCAGAAAATCGTTGCGGTAATTTGATTAATGAGTATATTTTTCAAGGTTTTCCGAAACTCGAGTTTTTAATAGCAACACATTCCGACCTTGGGACTGCTTTCAGAAATAATAACAGATTGGATATTTTACTAAAACCGCTAAAAAATCTCCAACATTTAGATATATCTTATAACAATTTAAGAAATGCTGACATTGCCAATTTAAACGTGAAGAGTCAAAATAATGTATTACAGTCCTTCAATGGTTCAAACAATGCTTTTAATCAAGTTCCGTCCTTTTTCCGACATTTCAGAAATTTATCTTTTATTGATATTTCCTACAATAATTTTTCTACTTTCAACCGTGACGAAAGAGATATTATTGACTCTGTGGTTGGTAGGGCAAAACTGGGTTTGGTAGGTAATCCCTTTAAATGTTCGTGTTCGAATCTAGATTTTCTAAAATGGGCAAAACAAACAAAAGCTAGTTATTTCGGACATCTTTATTGTCAACTGGAAAGCGGTGAAAACACAACATTTTCTGATCTTTTTATATATCTTGATCGTTTTGAAAACCATTGCCATGACAAGATATGGCTGATATTTTCGTTATCATTCACTACACTTGTTGTAATAATGATAGTATTCGTTGTGATATATCTTCGTTACAAATCTGCATTTCAATATTTTTGTCTCAGAATTAAACTAAGGTTAAAACGATACGAGGAACTGGACGGTGATCCGTACCTTTACGATGTCTTTATATGTTACAACCATAACGATGTTCCCTGGGTTGTAAATTTCAATCGCAAACTTACTTCTGAAAACTTCAAGACGTGCCTTGACGCTAAAGATTTTATTGCTGGAGAGGACATTGCTGAAAACATTTTACGTGCTATTGATAGTAGCAGGAAAATTATCTTTATTATCACCGAACATTTTCTCCAGAGTACCTGGGGTCACTACGAAATGGAATTAACACGGATGCATGCTTTCCAGGAGGGGCGGGACAACATGGTCATTGTGATTATGAAGGATGACCTACCGATTCATAAAATGCCTAAAGTCCTGAAAAGATTTTGGTATAAAGTTACATGTATAAAGTGGTATGATCGTGGAATTCAACCATTTCAAACAGAAGACATATTTTATGAAAATGTTTTCAGTTCACTTTCAATCGCATAAATTCTAACTGGATTGTTCGGAATAATGGTTGCCTTGCGAGAATACAACTTTACAATGTTTTAGATCTCCTACGTCGCATGAAATATTAAATAACGTATAATTGTTACATTTATTAGTTAAACATGAGTTATTCAGTATATAACTAAGTATGTTTGATTACCCTCTTATAACATCATTATCATATAAATAAAATAGAATATAAAAATTTCTTCTTTTCGTGATTCAGATCTTAGTGTTCGGTACGTATTTACAACAATAAGAACAATAAGACAAGAATGAAGAAAAAATAACGCATCAACAAACGTACTTCAATACTTAGACAATTTTCTATACAATATATCAAGCTCTAAATCCCCAAGAGTATAGGTCAGTATAAAATCGTTAGCTTTTATCAGTATTTGTCTTTATCAGCATAACTATTTTAAACCGGAAGCGTTAGATGTTGGTATGAAACACTCATATACAGGACTCAAATGTTGAACTGATAACCATATTTCAAACATAACACCTGTTGTTGATCGGGAAGTACGGCTCTTGAAAATTCCAAACCGGATACACTTGTCATGATCAGTTTTGATTCAATATCAGTTTCAGTTTCCTTTTGCAAAAGTTTTTTGATTTGGGATATTCGAGTTTAGTGATAATACATATGTTCGATTTACCTAGTATGTTGTTTATAATTTACTAAATAATGCTGTTGCTAAAGGACCCCAAAGCAGAAAGGACGCCTTCATTTACTTGTTGGGACTAAATCTATTCAAGTCTTTACTAATTTAATCACTTACCCTAAAATTAATGCTTTACCACACCTGACCCTAACAATAACCTTAGCAATAGATCTAAAACCTAACCCCAACCTCCAACTGAACCCTAACCTTGAAGAATACGGCCCTTCATATAAATAAAGGCCGAAAAAATGGTACACCAGTGAAACATTTAAAACGTTAAATCTCATGATGGATAATTGTAATCGTGTTTTCCATTAATTGGTGCAGTTGTTTCAGAAGATTTTTTTTACCAAAAGAACAAAAATGTATAATGTTATAGTATTTCACATCAATTATTTGGTCTTTTCCAGAGTGACATTTCCTAAAATCTGAAGTTTTTCATATAATTCGGTGGCGGATCCTAGGGGAAAAGGGGGGAGGGGTCCGGGGGTTCGACCCCCCTCTTTTTGTTTGACAACTAATGCTTTTGTATGGGGACACATGATTGGATCCCCTTTCTATTTATATGACTTGCATGTGTTGGAACCCCCTTTTAAAAATGGTTTGATACGAAATATACTAACAATCAATCTAACACAGAGTCCGTTATCTTTTTTTTTTATCTTCATATCTTTCTTTTGTTTAGGTATTGTATTTTTCCGTCCGCTCTTTTTAAAGAATTAACATGTCTTAGTCCGTACGGTGTGTGCTCTGTGCAATATATATTACAACTCAAGTTTGAATGAGCATTTCAATTACTGCAAAAACTGTAAAGTCACGAATGTCGTTATCATAAATTGATAAAAACAAAATTTAGTGAATTTTATCATAAATTTATAGGTTACAGATAAATAATGACGTGTCCGTCTGACCTTTCTTTCACTGATTCAAGTTTAACAATGAACACATAAGCTTACAAACACGGAAACTATAAAGAATCAAAAGATATTGATTATATTCAATGCAGACAGCAATCCAACGATACAAATGACAGGAAAAAAGTCAAGGTGAAAATACAAACTCAAGTTCATGCAAACATTGACATACTATAAAGGACGCAAACATAAAAATTTTAAAAAAAATGTCCGCAATAGTTAAGTTTAAAATAAAACTAGGAATGAGACAGGCTGACAAACAAATATAAAAGAAAAGATCGTACGAACAATGAAAACAACGCAACTAGACAAACATATTTTTTTATTTCCTATAGTTAATTCTCCTTTTTAGGATGGTGACAATATTCGTAATTTATATTCAAGGATTTCGTAACCACAAACATTACTCGAAACCTTTGCTGTATTCTTTCGTAGATATAGGGAGTCTGATTTTGAAGTTTTGCTGTACCTGTAGAAAACTGATTACAAACGGGATAGCGCATCCTAATTTTTACGGTGATGTTGGTTACCAAGCTCGATAATTTAGATACGATCCGGGTAAAGTTATCGATCCTTTAAATAAACTATTCTAAAAAGTTAGAAATTTAACCTTGTGATTAGATCTATGAACATTGTTCGTTTAGTCAATTAAGCCTTTTGCAACTGATTTTTATAGTTTGTTCTTATGTTGTGATGTTACACCACTGTCTCAGGTAGGAGAGGTTTGGGTGCCCAAAAACATGTTAAATCCAGCCACATTCTAAATGTGCATTTCCCCAGCTTATGTCAGGAGCCAGAAATGTATTTGTTGCAGTATCGTATTTGTTTTTCGTTTATTGTTTTAACAATTTGTTCTTGTGTTGTTCTGTTACACCACTGTCCAAGGTTAAGGGGAGGGTTGGGCGCCATGTAAAATGTTTAACCCCGCCGCAATCTGTATGTGCCTGTCTCAAGTCCGGAGCCTATAATTCAGTTGTTAATTATTGTTTGTTGCTGAATATCATATTTGTTTTCATTCATTGTTTACTTATCATGATTGAATTTATGTTGAAAGAGTGTAATATGGAGGTGGTACTATAAGTTTCGAATAAAATTAATTTTGTCAATATATATAATCAGTGAAAATAAACCAGTCATGTAGAAAGTCATTTACAACTTACAATCATATTACCATTTAAAAAATACAGTTAACCTATTGCTTATGGTATCCGAGAACAGACCTAATTTCGAAAATTGAACATCGACCAATGAACCATGAAAATGAGGTTAAGGTTAGATGAACTATGCCAGACAACATGTACATCATACAATCATTCCATACACCAACTAAAATTGCCATATTAGTTAGAGTATCTGCAAAACAAACATAACCATGACAACTTTACATATACTAGTGAATCATAAATATGAGGTTAAGGTCAGATGAACCCTGCCAGACAGACATGTACACATAACAATCATTCCGTACACCAAGTATATTTGACCTATTTCTTATAGTATTTGATAAACAGACAAAACAATGAAAAATTAACGTTGACAAATGAACCATTAAAAAGACGTCAAGTTCAAATGAATCCTGCCAGGACATATGAATACACGTTAAAATCATTTTATACACCAAATATAGTTGACCTATTGCTTATAGTATTTGACAAATAGACCTAATCACAAAAAATAACATTGACCAATGAACCTTTAAATTGAAGTCAAGGTCAGATGAATCCTGCCAGAAGGACATATACACGTTACAATCATTCTATACACCAAATATAGTTGATCTATTGATTATAGTATCTGACAAAAAGAATCAATCACAAAAAATAATATTGACTAATGAACCATGAAAATGAGATCAAGGTCAGATGAAACCTATCAGTCAGACATGTACGCGTTGCAATCATTCCATTCACCAATTATAGTTGACCTATTCCTTATAGTACCTGAGATATGGACTTTACCACGTAAATTAAACTTAACCTTGATTACTGATTCATGAAATGAGATCAGGGTGAGTGAACCCTGTCTGACAGACATAAAGACCTTGCAAGAAACCCACATTTATATATCAAAAACACGTATCCTATTATTCATAATATGTGAGTAATTCACATGGTAAAAAAAAATTTAAAAGCAGTCGCTTAACCATGATGACAGGGACAATGGACATATGAGACTGAAAAATTGTAACAGAAAGCATCTCCATACAAGGTTTGAAGCATCCAGGCATTCTACCTTCTGAAATATAAAGCTTTAAACAAATAGTCGCCGCCGGATTGTAATCCTTGTGTCTCACATTCTATCGGCGACGAAAAGAAAAAAAAACAACCATCAAAGAAACAATAATGCAACAAATGTCCATCGGTAACACACAAAGTACTCTGTATAAATATGAGTTGATGAAATTTGGAATAAACTAGGATGTGTAGTGTGTGGAACTGAAATATGACCTTTCAAGTGCAAATCAAACAGCTAAATTTTTAGAATTTTATTAAGAAGAAACACTTTGAAATATAATATATTACATATAACCACAAACAATCGTTTTATATCAATGCTTTGTATTTAAAACAATCTTTTATGAACTTACAAATCGAAAAATATTAAAAAATTTTAATTAAAAAGGTACTTTGTTTTACTTGAACATTCGTTCTGTCACATGAAATTCATAACTTTGTGAGTGTGTGTGTGTATGTGCTTTTGAAACATGTAAATCATAACTCTCTGTGTGGGTGTTTTTGAAACATGTAAATCATAAAACTCCGTGTATGTGTTTTTTATACATGTAAATCATAATTGTTCATGTGTGTGTTTTTAACATATAAATTCCAACCGTCGGTGTATGTTTTTTTGTAACATGTAAATCATAATTATCCGTATGTGTGTTTTGTTACATGTAGAGTTATAACCAGTACGTACTTTCTCCTATTAAATCAAATGTATTCCAAAAACATTCTTTGGTGGACTTGAAGCATATGAAATGTTCGCTACTTTAACATAAATTTCTTCTCCTGCCTCAAGATGAATATCTGCGGAGATGTACGTATCATATCTGGAAAATATTGAGTTTTCCGATCTCTCATATGGGTGGTGGGTACACATCACTTCCTTCTCGCCACCTTTCTTTTCTTTAATGTTTGATTTATATATTGAATGAATTAAACATGGACTCTTTGACAGTACATTGATTGTATTTTGTGTTGTATTCCGGATAAACTGGTAGTTAAAGTCCACGGCACTATATACATGATAATATCCGCTGACAGGAACACGGACACGGCCATTGTTTAATGTTACACCATTTAACAGCAAACAGTTGTTTCCCCTATACCACTTCCTGATTGGGAGAATGTTTTTGCTTATTTCATCTAGAGAGAGAGATGCATAAGTGTTATTGAAATAAAAGTACTATTCTATATGAACATGTATATATACACTCAGTGCAACAAAGAAACTTTACACACTGAATTAATGTTTACATATACTCAAAACTAAAGTGGTAAAAGAGAGGCGAAAGATACCAAAAGAGACATTCATAAATAGGAATATTGGTAAATTGGCAATTCTCGAAAAGAAATAATTCTTACAATGCTTACGAACATTAACTTTATTAAGATATATGTTTGTGTTATTAAAACTATATATGGACTTACACGTTATAACATATAAATAAATATTGAATTCATTCACATCTATGTGGTAAATTAAGTAAAAGTATCTTGTCCTCTCTTATATCTCACTGAATCTATTTTTAAACGGCAGATAAGTTGAAAAAGATTGGTTGATTGCTAGACGAAATCATAAATTCGGGAGGTTTCAAAGAAAAACATGAAATCCTGTAGTTCGTACACTAACCTGTGGCTGGCATGTCTCGGTCCTCTCCGATCAAATGTGCAACTGGTTTCACATCTCCTATATAACCTTTGTGGATCTTAACTATAAAATACATTACACTTTACTCTATAAAAATTCAAAAAGAAAATGCAATGTTGATAGTTTTTTTTTTTTTATGAAGATTATATCTTTACAAAAAGTATGAGGATTTTCTAACCTTTGAATGTACCCGAGTACCTTGGAGTTTTTATCTTATTTTCTACAGCACTTAAGGTACCTCCAAATATGTTTATCATTTGACAGCAAAGAGATAGTCGAGTATCTAAATTGTTTTACATGAAAGGACAACGTTCACGTTTGGCCAAATATGGTCTTGAATTTCAAATCTATCATAACATTTCAAAATGGCCATGATTTGGTTCTTAAATAGGCCTATTTTAAAAACCTTACTTCTTTGTTAAAATAAAACTCTGCATAAGAGAGCATTCTTGATCAAAATCAGCACATTTAGGATAAATTGTCAAAATACGATGATTTTGTACATTTTTCGGACCTAAAAGTTTGAGGAAACCCATCGCCGAAGCCTAGGATCCAAAAGTTTCTGTTAACAAAAGTTGCCAATGATGATATTGAATCCCTAGACACAAAAACTTTCTGGATCATGGGTGGCGGCCAAGGTGAATTATGCTAAAAACTGATAAGAATTATTGAAAATTTGACAAACACTGAGGTTACAACACAAACAATGCAAAATAAAGGAGTCAATACTTCGTCAGTTTAAATGTGATGTGCCAACATGAAGTTATTTTGTATTATCACAACTACTTCTATGTGAACATTGTAATATTTTGGCCTGATTAAAAAAATATCAAAATCTTAGGGCCACTTTTAACCCTTCGTGATTTTATTCCTTTATTTGTATAATTTACTGCAGTAGCAATGTTTTTCTTTTCTCTTACAATATTGTTCTTTATTGCCTTTCTTTCCATCATTTCACCAGCAGTGTTTCTCATAGCTTTTGCGGAACAAAGGAGAATAAAACGTATTTATCATTCAACATGAAGAAATCTATTTTAATTGACGTAAAATTTGGGAGTCAATCAAGTGGTATATTAGGAGAGAATTGGTCAAAATAGCAGTGACTAAAATATAACTCCAATACCCTCATCAAAGACTGTTGAATATTCTCTTTGGACAGCTGTTGACATCATTAAAGTGCTTGATATATTAAAGGAAACGAGACTGACAAAAATATACATCTACTTTTACCAGGAAATGTAATTATCATGTTAAACGTAATAGTTAACGTACCAACTGTTCTTTCAAACATCGCTGTATATTCGGAAGAAATCTCAGTATGTTTTTCATCGAAGGTCTGCAAATCGATAAAAATTATATTAAAATTATTGTAATGGTTGATCCATTGGTTGATCAAAGATAATACTTTTCAAAAAGAATATTTCAAATTATGATTATAATTGCTGCCACAGGTACGTAGACATATATATGCATGCTATTTAACATTCCCGTTGATTGCTGCCACAGGTACGTAGACCTATATATGCCTGCTGTTTAACATTCCCGTTGATTGCTGCCACAGGTACGTAGACATATGTATATGCATGCTGTTTAACATTCCCGTTGATTGCTGCCACAGGTACGTAGACATATGTATATGCATGCTATTTAACATTCCCGTTGATTGCTGCCACAGGTACGTAGACATATATATGCATGCTATTTAACATTCCCGTTGCTATGTCAGAAAATCATACAGCACATAATACACATATTTCAATTTAACAAAATCATTCACTATCGGTAATCAATATTTACCTGCTTACAATGTTCTAAAAATAACTTGCCCCACTTAATGTTAAGTGTACTTCCTAGTAAACAAACAAGCACACACTTACCTTTTCCATGTAGTTTTGTAGAATTACATCTCGGCAACCACAACATATACCACTAGGATCGGTCGTGCACTGCAGGCACATATAACCACAGTCTTCCCCTGGGGTACGGGGCGCTGGCATCACCCATAAAATGATTAAAACTATTATTAAGATAACTACGTCTGCTGTAAAAACTAACAAAGTTATTCCTTTTGTCCTGTTCTTCAAAACCTTCTGAAGTTTAGAAGGCGGCATTGTGTCACATAAACTCAGATTGTCAATGCAAATAAAATTCTTCTTTCAGTAATTTTTTTACTTTTGCTTTGAAAAATCACTATCACTTTCTTAATCAAGTTTTGAAGTCGATGTTGCAATTAACATACTTTTCAACAGCAAACTTAGCCTACTGCAAAAAAGCAGCACTGCAAAATCTGCCTTAAACAATGGTTACTATATTCCACAGGTTCAATGGCTCCATAGCCTTGATAGCCACATTCAAAATAGTTTGTAACAAATAAAGCGTACGCATGCGTGGTCTATATAATATTAAATGTTTTACTTTCACTTTCCAAAAGAGAAACCAAAATCATGAGTTGTTCAAAATAAGTATAATGGGTATCTGATAAACCGTTTAGTTTCATTTACTAAAGTAACACACCGGGAACTATTCAATGATATGTTATTTTGGCAATGCATGTGATTTAAATGACGTACACCCAATGAGCGCGGTTCTTGTTACTGAAAATACCCAATATTACATGAAAAATCACAAAAACCTCGAGACAAAAACAGACTGCTTATTTCAAGAGAATATCCAATTCAAAGAGTAACAAACTAAAACTAATAATGTGACTTTAAATTTATTTATATACAAACATGATTTCCTTTAATGAAATTCTAAACTGACCACAACTTGTTATATTTGATTTTATCAAATATGACAGTTTATTTTCTTTAGAATTCCTCAACCTACTTGACTGATTGAAAAGGTGACATTCCTTTACGATGTATGAATGGTTAAATTATTTCTTTTATTAGATTTGATGCAATCCAAAATTGTCAGAATAATTGGGATGAACAAAATAAAACCAACGATTCACAATAATTCAGTAAGACTAGTATGCATCTAAAGAAAAAATAAGACAAAAAAGGAAAACAATACGAAACCGATTAGCGTACACACGACGCAAGGTACTAGAACAATAAACCTTAATTAAATCGGGGATTTATGTACACTCGACCAGATAAGCTCCTATAAAGTTTGGAAAGCCAACAATATATATAAACAACGGCAATTCTATTCGTTAATAGTGATATTAACAAACACACGTTGAAGACCCATTGGTGGCCTTCGGCTGTAGTCTGCTCTTTGGTCGGGTTGTTGTCTCTTTGACACATTCCCCATTTCCATTATCAATTTTACATACTGGTGGTATTTCCTAGAGCAAGTCGCGTGTTTATAACTCAGTTTTATCAAGTTTATTAACCCAACGAAAAAAACATTTGAGAGAAATAATTCAGATGTCGAAAACTGTCCACATGGCCTTATAAAAACTACAACTTAAGATTAAGTACAATTACAATAGTTACTGACACAAATGAATCGCTTAATCCAAGCTTGTTCTTAAGTCCTGGATTCTATGCGGCCAGTAACACGTGGGACCGAAAGTCCACCTCCGCACAAAGTACAATCTTACTTTAGTCTATTCATTCAATAGTTGATATTATTATACTTCATGTCAAAATGCCAGATTTTGATTGGTTAATACGAGAGAGACAATTTACTCTATCCCATGGCAAATACTCTATTACCCTCCACGGAGACGCTTGCACAAGTTTGTGCTTTAATAAATACGGATGATTGTTATGTACAAGACGACATAGTTTATTACTATGAATTTGAAATTTAATAGACAGTAATAACAGAACATTCAGTATAATAAATAAAATAACACATATCTGAGAGGATGATAGAGCAGATTGTTACCCCTCGAAAAGACATTGTCAACCTTGGCTTCGCCTCAGTTGACAATGTTTTCTCGGGGTAACAATCTACTCTATCACCCTCTCAGCTATGTGTTATTTATATAATGATATTGCCATAAATATGGATTAACAACTTTGTGGAAATATATCTTTTTCTTGTAATATAAATATTACTTTTTTAAAATTAGTTCAAAGATATCTCAAAGACTAAAGACAAAATAAAAATAACACTATATAAATTTCATGCGTTCAAATCGCTTTTCTGGATTTACCTTCATCAGGAACGATCAAAGCCGAATATATTGAAAGTCAAGGAAGTATAAGAACCGAAATAGTTGAAAAATGTATGACCAAAAAAGGACCTTAAATAATAGCCAAATCCATCTAAAGTCAACTTTGCCTGAGGAAGTTGGATCCTTAAGTTTCTTAATAATGTATCAATTTATAAACGGAAAGTTAAGTTATAAATTATAAAAAGTGACAGCCATCGATTTATTGGAAAATGTCTGTATTTTTACTTCCCTTAAATCATTTTTAAACACTATTTTGTAAAATTGAACGTAATTAATATTTTATGGGTAAATGCAAATTAACAATATGACGCCAATTCATGTACGTTAACTGGATTTTCTTAAATTCAGACGCCGTATGATGGACATATGCTGTCTTTGATAACATTAATGGTACCAATATTTAAAGAAGTCCGTCATATTATTTTCTTCTGTGAAACGAAGAGGAGGATTGGCAGCACTTGGTTGATCTTGTCTCTTGTCTGTTTGTCTGTTTCAAATAATAAGAGTATAGCCAATCTTTGCCAACTGGGTTTGATAGATATGTTCTGTGACAAATTGCACACCAATTTTGCAAAGCTTACGTTTTGCACTTTTTTTTCCAAACGCGTTAATTCATAATTACAGATCATGGTTTAGAGTATGATTTGATTGTTATAATTTAAAAAAAAAAAAGATTTGACGTAGTACATTTATCGAAAATATAATTTTACTATGCAACTATTGATTTTGTTTCGTATATTTACATCCGGCGTACACCAAGAATTGATATTCAAAACTATTGTAAGAGAAATATACTTGGGTTGAAAAATTTTAATATAAAATATTAAACGATATAAACGCAAGAGCTATATAATTTTGCAAGTTTAATATTTAATCAGACGAATCAACAAGAAGAAACTATAAAACACGTCAATCGGGAAATATCGCCTAATGACCATCACATGATTCACAAAACATGACAGATTCATTCATGTTTGCAGTTTTATGTGTAAATAGACATAATAGATGACCATGTTTACGTCAGGTCATAAGGTCATGGTCATTGTAACTGACCTAAACAATCTATAACCATCGTTTGTTATAACCAATCGTTTAGCAGATGATGCCAATAAGGAAATGCTCAACCATATAAAAAGAAAGCTTTGGTTAATTGTTATCATTCATCAAATCTACACACATTGGTCTACACGAGTATGAAGTCTATTCTCTATTCTGTCGTTCTCTTAATTTCCTTTTATTGCACTCAAGGTATGTAAAATGCACAGATTAAGTAAAGAGAATTAACGACAAAGACACGTCTTATAACATTAATACTTATATTTATACTGTTTATTTCTTTCCCTCTTCGGTGCTTTAAGATGTTAGAATATTTTGCCAGTAAATCAAATTAGATTTAAAATTATTTATTCAACATTGGGCAAATAAATTTTAAGAATTGAGCGTGTCAGGTTTTTTTTTCTATTATAGTCTGTATTTTACAAATTGATAAAAATACAACGTTACATACTTAATATTGTTTTCGTTTTTTGTTATTCAAATAACAAATTTATCAGGATACTTTTGTACCTGAAATAATGGCAGTAAACTGCAAAAGAGTTTAAGCATGAACATCAATAATAAATAATGGAAAGGGATGACAATTATAACCATCACTAAATGAGGGAAATAAACATATTTTAAAATATACTTTATGTATGCTTTATCTAAATACGAAAGTGTCAAACTATTTGTTGAACTCTTTTTTAGGTCGCATCTATGGTTACCACAAGAAGACGAAAAAGATTTCAACTGTGTTACCTAGAAACAAAACTCCTCCTTGTAACGTTGGATGCACAAGACAATTTATACCTCTAGAATGTAGACAGGAATCATTCGGATTTGAGAATGGTGTGAGATGTAAGGGGTGCGACATTGATATTTGCAGAGGCAGGGGAGATAATTTCAACAGATGGCAGGACAATGTTAGAAGGGAAGACGGTGGGCGCTGGAGAAACCGTGATCAAGGAATCGATGTTGGATTCATCGATAACATTCAAAATGACTTTTTAAATCAAGGACAAAGGTTAAATCAAGGTGACTGGTCACGAAATAGATTCGATACTAGAATAAACAGACAATTCAGAAATGAATGGAATTTGTGATCGGATTTTAGTTTTGTAAAAATATGTTGTAAGCTATCATGTTATAATTAGTCATGAAATCCACGTTACATGAGTGAAACAATATGTCAGTGTTATTTTTTTATATTTTTGCAAATAAAATTATGTTTTTATAAAAAATATTTCAAGATTTTACAGGTCTCTGTATGCCTCCTCCTTTCAAGAGAAGTTTGAAAGTCTAAGAGTTCTCAATATCAAGAATACTTCGAGGGGTTTATATAGGATTGTACAAAGGTCACTTTTTTGGGCCCTTAAATTAGAAAATAAAAACATAACATCTCTCATATGTTCCCATAGTCTGACTGATATCAGTATTAAGAGTGTTGATAATAACTGCGAACATTCTCTAATGCTGTATAGTTTTTTATTGCTTTTTTCGTGTTTTTGTTAATTCATGTACGCTCAATTTATACAGTTATGTTCTGTATTTTTGTTAGGTGTTGGGATTGACTATAAAAATTTGGAGATGTGGAATGTTTGCCAATAAGACAACTATTCCCCAGAGCCCAACTATTCTTTACGATTCTGAAAATTATGTTATAGCCCCCTTATCGAGATTTAAAAGTCGAAATGTGTGAGTAATGAATCTCACCACATTTATATGTGTCTGTCCTTAGCCAGGGAAATCGTCAGTGGTTGTCATGTCATATATCTGAACGTACTGGGATTTGTATAACTATGTATAGAAACTGGTGAAGAAGAAGGATCTGTTATAGTCTCTGTTACGATCTGTCAAAACTTGTTAGGCTCGTAATAATTTAGACATTGGTCTATTGTTGAAAACGTTGTTCTGAATGTTTATCATTTGTGTTGTCGGGTTGCTGTCTCATTAACAAATACTTAAGATCTGTTTATTTAGATTCCAAATTTCAAATAATTGCTATGAATTGTATTTCGAGGTTATGAACTGGATGATAAAAACTCGTAGGTGCAATAAAAAAGACAACGCAATGACAACAAGAAAACCAACGAAAAGACCAAAAGAAATTGTCGAAATATAGCATATATACTTTGACATTCTGAACAGACACAAGATTATTGAAAAGGGAAACAAGATATATAAGAACGAGACATGACCTCGGTAAGTAACTATTTTGTCCCAATTTTCAGTTTATGATTCATCATTTAATTAGGTCAGGTAGAAAAAGTCATGGTTTCTTACCCTTGGCCAAATGTATACGCTGTAATTGATCTTCAGTAATATCTTACAAGCATAGGACAGGCAAAGAATGAACGACGTATATACACTTCCGCTCTTTCGCATAGTAACGTTTTGGATATTTCAATGGACCTAATTTTGTATAACTGGTAAAACGTTGCGTTAGGGATTTAGTTAACAAAATTACTTAAAACCTTTACTAAATTCTTTCACAGATTCAAAGATTTGCTTTTGAAGTTCGGCAGTACCTGTAGCAATCTTATTACAAAGGATATATCACATCCTAATTTGACGGTGATTTTGTTTTTAGGGCCAGTAAATATAGATACGATCAATGTAAACGTATTGATGAATAAAATATTCTGAAAGGTTATCAATGTAACACTGTAATCTTTGAATATTGTCTTCGTCAGTACTAACATTGGATTTGCATTTATTTTAAATATAACTTAATTCGTATGGCTATACAGTGGTGAACATTTTTGGACCTTAATTCGGTCAATACTTATATGTTATAGTATGGCATTGTTCGATGCCATGCTTTTCTGATCAGACTGTTTATGACGTTCTGACACGTACTATATCCTTGGATATGTACTGATCGAAATTTTAGTCCAGCAGAACTTGATTTGATTATTAGTTAAAATTAGCTTTAAATTAGATATATATATATCAGTAACTGCGAGAAATATAAGATCGGTCCCGTTTATTTTTTTGTCTTTTTGTTAGTTTTTTTTAATGTACGTACTGACGAACTGACGAGTCAATCCTTTTCCAACTGATTTTATAGTTTGTTTTAATGGTGTGTTGTTACGCCACTTTACCAGGTTAGGGAAGGATTGATCGCACAAACATGTTCAACATCGCCACATTCTTAATGTCACACAGTGCCTGTCCGAAGTCAGAATCCCGTTATTCGTTCGTTGGTTGCTGTCTGCCTTAATATTTGTTTTACGTTGTTTTTATGATTAATCAAGCCTTTCTTTTAATTGTTTCACATTTTGTCTTGACGAGGCCTTTTATCACATCCCCATCCTGTAGTTACTGGTTGATAGTTGTTTCACTAGCAATCATACCATATCTCCTTATTTTTATATTCTCAATAACTTGCTGTCAGGTTTCAAGCCTTAACATTCGTGTACCACTGTACTACTTAGTTACTCAACTTTATCGAATATATTAATATGAATATATTTAGATTGAATAACATTTTGATCTAGTATATCCTTTAATTTTGTTGCGACATTTTCAATACTAGTTTTATAAAGGTTCGAACTGTACACTAGATTGGTTGAAGTCGAGAAGAAAGGGAGTCAAGGTCAATGAATTTAACATTATGTCTGATAAAATACTAAAAAACCAGCATACGTGTACAACACGATTCTATTATTGGGTTTCTGTTTTCATTCATGTTATGCATATTTAAAATGATTTACCACTCTAGGAATATAATTAAGTCATTGATATATTTGCATGCAGATGAATCTACCTTGTATAATAAATGCAGTGGTGTACATATATGAAATTTTAACCTTAAAAAAGAGATCGATATCATTAAAAACTGATGTACTGATAATAACATGAAATTTGAATCCCTTTTTACTGTCAATTGTTGCTGGACACAATATCACAAAGTAATCTGTGCATAACAAGGATCGTATCAAAGACAAAAATAATTACCGTTATAAACGATCGAACATTTTCGAAGCGTTCCGAGATATATGGTCCCGACATAATCTAATCATATGAACGACTCTTTATAATAGTGCTAACTGGAATGGGTTCCTTGTTACAGGATACCGAGTTAAGTCCCTTCAGAAACCTATCATCTTTCAAATGGGGTATTGCACCGAGACAATAATTATGTAAAGATGCTTTAATTTGTATAAAATTCAAAGGATATTCATTAAACTAACAAGGAAGTGAATACAATGAGAATATTAGGGCGAAGGTATTACTCTCTTTAATAGCGATGATTATCCTTAAAAATTTTCAAAGGAACACTGAAGGGTGCTTCTAGCATGTGAAAGTATTAAAATTTGGCGATCAAATATAGGGAATAAAAAATCCGCCCTTCATTTGTAACGATATTGCATTGAACTAATGGTGGAAATAATTTGATCCTCCTTCAAACTCATCGATATAAAGGCGTGAACCCCAGCTGTATAAATTCTTGTTTTATATATTGATAATGCCTTTAATTGGAATACACAATTAAATAAGATGTTGTCTGCTCTATGGTCGGGTTGTTGTCTCTTTGACACATTCCCCATTTCCATTCTCAATTTTATAATATATCATATCATTTGAATAAAGTTGTAACATAGGATACGTACTTTTTTACTGATACATTTTACGCATAATTTATTTCAATGTCTATATTCTCTGATTATTTTTTAATGTTTAAGAAATCTACAAGAGTAATAGTGCATGCTGACACAATGACATCTGTTTAGTTTATTGACAGTCTAAATTTGTTAAATGTTACAAAGGAAATTAATATCAGAGGGCTGTTTTGATATGGCTCCTAACTTTTTACAACAAAATAAATTATTTTACATGATAATCAAAACTATTATTTACTTTCAGCTAATGGAAAACTGCTACATGTGTACATCAATCAAACTGAATATAAACACATCTGTTTAAGAAGTCATTTATGTATACTGGCTTTCAAATATTGGAACACTTTACCAGATGCAATACAAATGTGAAATACTATTGTAAATTTTAAAGAAAAAATGTTTTGGTATTTTCATGGGGAAAAAGCAAATAAATAAATAAACGATATTTAATGTATGATATTTATATATCTGTTTATTTAGATATAATGGGTCTTTGTAACATATCATCCGAGAGCCTGATCAGTATAAGTGGTAAGTAATCAGATTGTCCTCTGTAAATAAAGATTATGTTTTTTTCATATTTGT